TTGAAAATAATTATACATTTTTTTACTAGGTGACCCCTTTTCTGTATAAGAAACCGTATAATCCCCAGTGTACATAATTATGGTGGAAATCGTATTTGGTTTTTGGACGTTATATTGTGTAAATTTACCTGGTAGAGCCATACTGCAGCTATATTAGTAGTATAGTTGTAGCACGAATGGGTCGGCTCGACCGGAGAAGGACCACGCTCTCACAGAAAACCAGCGTAAAATAGCAGCTTAACGCTGCTGTGTTTCGTATGGTGAGTGTAGAGAACCGGAGACCCCTTTTACTGGCAAAGAGGCATTCCATCTTAGTCCTCACGGGTGACAACGCATCTGCATCTTGAGTCTTTATTGAGGATAGATGTAGATGTCTATGGGTCACAGTAACCACTTACCATCAGGTGGACTGTGTGCTCGTTTGTCACCCTATACTATAAAAAAAATATGTTTAATTTTATAGGAAAAGGGTGACACGATCACACAGTCTACCTGATGGTAAGTGGTTGCCCATACTACAACTATACAACTAATATAGCTGCAGCATGCTCTACCACGTAAATCATTATTAAGTCGATTTATTTTTTACTCGACTATCCCAGTAAGACCGAGATGTTTTTCGAGAGTTGTGTATTGTCCATTTATTTGGCACGCTCTGCAGCCTAAACGGAGTGATGGATATTGGATTTTAACATGTGCCCGTTAGATTCGTCTTAAAGGTGGGAGAGTCATAGGCGATTAGTGTTGCCCAAAATTGGTCTTGGTCTTGCAGTCTTGGTCTTGTTCTTGAATTATTGCAAGACCAAGTCCAAGACCAAAATAGCCTAATTTTAGCAAGATCAAGACCAAGACTGACTGAAGACCGTGGAAAATTTGAAAAAAAAACCGGCAAAGTGCGAGTCGGACTCGCGCACCGAGGGTTCCGAACAAATCTGTAGGTATATAAGTTTAAAATTATTAAAGATATTTTTATTATATGATGTAACCAAAAATTTATAATTTTCGCAATTTTTCCTTTATCTGTGCTATAAAACGTTGCTTCGTACCAACAAATTTCAAGATTATGACTTCACGGGAAGTACCCTGTAGGTTTTGATTCCCTTGCGAATGTCGAAAATTTACGACATAAACGACTGTATCTTTGGATTGCGTTGGCTTAGAAGTTTGATTTTTTCACAGCTGTAAGGGACAGTAGACTTGAGTATTTTATATGAACTTCTGCTTGATACCTCCACGCGTTCCTGAGAAAAAGGGTCTTGACAGACAGACAGACAGACAGATGGACAACAAAGTGATCTTATAAGGGTTCCGTTTTTTCCTTTTGAGGTACGGAACCCTAACAAGACTAAGCCTGCGAGACTCTTGCGTCCTGCAGTTAGAACTGAGTGTCGTTTCAAGGAGTATACGAGTTCGGGTTTAGGAACTCTATGAGACGCAAAAATATATATTAAAAAATATTGGAACATTGGATTTATGCGCATTACGAACAATACCATAAACATACATAGCGAATGAAAATATCCATTAAAAGAAAAAAGAGTGCATCCCTAGTTTTGACCATCGGCACTTAGATAGTGCGCGGCGTCTTGTTCACATGAGTAAAGAAACCGAAAGTCCTTACTCTTTACTCTGTGGTTTTGTTGTCGGCATCATCAAAGGTCGGATACTGACCTGTCAAAGAAATTTTGTAGCTATCCGGAAGTACAAGGTCAAAATACATGCGCCGGCGGCTTCTATTGATATCGCATACAATCGTCGCCGCTGCGCCGCACGCACAACATTTCACATTGTTTGATTGCCGCTTCAGAATACATGTTCCAAAGAATAATATAAGTTTCCGGGTGCTCAGAATGAACACGAATACATTATGCTGATCTCGCAAGGAATACTTATTGTAATTAGATAATAGTAAGGATAGGTAGATATCATAATAATTTATTCTAGTAAGTAATTATTATAATATTAACTACATATATGTGGGGTAACTACATATATGTGGGGACGCCCTACACTTCGCCTATCGTACAGGTAGGCGAAGTGTAGGGCGTCCCCCCACGAGATGGAGTGACGACCTGGTAAGACATGCAGGAAGTCGATGGATGAAGGTGGCTCAGGACCGTGCTTTGTGGCATTCTTTGGGGGAGGCCTATGTTCAGCAGTGGACTTGTGAAGGGCTGTAATGATGATGATGATGATGATGATGTGGGGTAATTAGGTAGCTTTCTCATCTGGTTGGCCTGTTTAAATATATAAATGTAAATTAAAATGATAAATATACATAAATATCAATAAAATAAAATAAATATATAAAAATACATAAATAAATAAAAACCCAACCAGATGGAAGCCCTCGACAGGGGAGACCAAACGGTCGAGGGTTATGCCATGTTTCTGCGGCAAGTACAGCCTCATTACTGACGATCTCGGATGATGCATCCTGTGAGACGTCATAATAGTGCGGACTTTTCTATCCAGAGCGTTCAGTTCGGTTCAGTTTATTATTATTATTATTACCTAATAGATAAACATGTTCAATAAGTTCACTGCAAATATCCTTAAAATACAGTCAAGTTAATGTTGATAATTTATTTTTTATATGTTTTAATCATGTTTTAGCACATGTAAGCTTATTAAATATAAACGTTTATTAAGAAACAGACCGTGGCCGTGGGACACGGTAGATAGCTGTTGGCTAGAGCATCGGCACGGATCGCTTAAGTCGTGGGTTCAAACCCCACCCGATGTCCGTTGATTTTTCGAATTTGTCATTAAATGTTTAGACATTTATTAATTTTTATTGGTCTTTACTATGGCTATTTAATTCAAGCTCAAAATGTACCTACTCTGTTAAGTTGTTCTAAGATATATGTAACGTTTAATAAATAGCAATAGGTTAATGGGTAATTGCGAGACTTGCGAGACTCTTGCTGCAAGTCCAAGACCAAGATTGGGAGCGTAATACCAAGACCAAGGCCAGGTGTATTGGCGCAAGACCAAGACTGGCTAAGTCTCGTCTTGTTCTTGCACTTGGACAACATTATAGGCGATATAATAATTATATATTGCAAGTGCGTTTAAAGAAAGGACATTAAGTGCAACTACATCTAAAACTTTTCTCATTTTAGTAAAAAAATAAATAAGCAGCCGAGTTTTTTTAAATGATTATTTTACCCTTAGACTTGTATCAATATCTAAATTTAATTACAAACTTCTTGTCAACATTCTTTTTTTTATAGGATAGGGTGACAAACGAGCACACAGTCCACCCGATAGTAAGTGGTTACTGTGACCCATAGACATCTACATCTATCCACAATAAAGACTCAAGATGCAAATGCGTTGTCACCCGTGAGGACTAAGATGAAAAGCCTCTTTGCCAGTAAAAAGGGTCTCCGGTTGTCTACACTCACCATACGAAACACAGCAGCGTTAAGCTGCTATTTCACGCTGATTTTCTGTGAGAGTGTGGTCCTTCCCCGGTCGAGCCGATCCATTCGTGCTACAACTATACTACTAATTAGCTGCAGCATGGCTCTACCACGTAAAAACTCTTGTCAACATCTCTCTTTCAGCTTCAGGATCCTCTCGTCAGTCCTCACGGTGCTGCGTTAAATGTTGCCAGGTTGAGTCTGAACTTTCACCGGAGATTCTTAGCACTCCGCTGTTACCATGGCCACCATTGTAGCTAGGAATAACGGGGCCGCGGCCGCCGGGGACTAGGCGCCGCGTTTTTATGTCGTTGCTCATGGGGGTATACTGTACATAGTTGTTATGCTTGGTCGAATTAATTTTGTGAAATAATAGACGAGTTCTCTATTTCAACACCACTTTAATTAACATTTGCAACTTCAGAAAATTTTTCAACAATCAGATACAATAAAGCAATTTTGTTGTTAGTAACTAAACGATAAAATTAATTTAATGCGCGTGTGAAGCAAGAGTAACGCTTATTTTAAAATTAAAGTCAATTGCAATGACATTTTAAATGCTACTAAATTAAATATTAACTTGAAATAGTCCAAAATAGTTAAACAATGCAAGTTGAAAAACAAAATTCGAACAATTACAGAGCATTCCCTGCGAATTAATGAGATATCTGTTAAATAGAGTAGCTGTTTAACAGTTTAAGATCGTAGGCTGCTTTTTAGTCCTCAGATAAAAGTCTATATAAAATAAATTTTGTGAATTAATCACAACTGTACGAATAGTTCACTAGTTCCCTTTCATATTCAGTCGGGTTATAATTTATTTCACAGATAATTATTATGTGACGTTTGAAAATCAGCCCTTATAAAAAATAAATATTATTAGTGACAGCTAAATGGAATGTTATGTAAAGTACTATGATATTAAATATACGATGACTTAAGAGTAAAATGATGAATACTATAAATAAAGAGGTCGTTCATAAGAACAGTTGTAGGGAACAAAAAATGGCAGTCACGTTATGCTCAAATAACCGTCACATATTTTAGTAAGAAACAATAAAACTAATTTAATCTACAATGATGGTATCATGAGCTAAAAAATTGTTTTTGCAATAAAACTTTTAGAAATTTCAAAGGTATACATGATGTTAGTCGCACCCAACTGATTATACCTACTGCTTATTAACGTGCTATGTTTAGTACTCTCTTGTTTCAATCTGATGCGGCTAGATATTTGTGGTATAATATATTTTTAAGCCTTAATATTGTTCCCCTGAAATAGTTTTATGGAGATTATAGAACAGTTAATTATTTTAAGATCTTATTTAATTTTATCTGTGGCAATAAATACTTTTGATTCGATTTGATTTCAAATACACATATTTATTCTTACAAGGTGGGAGCGAAGCCAAAATGTTTCGTTGTTATGTTATCTGTGAGTTTCATAGCGACAGACGATTGTATTCGTGTACGAACATTTACCCCATAAAAATTGCACATAGTTCTGTATCGGAGAAAATCTCTACTAGCCTCCAATCCGCCGGCGGCTCGTGTTGCTCTTTGGGCGCGTGGCTAGTTGTTGGGGCGCGGCGTGGTGTGGCGCGCGAGGCGCAGGCTGGCCGCGTGCATGGACGAGCGGCGCGCGCTGGAGCGGGCGCGCGGCCGCGGCGACCGCGGCGAACGCGGCGACCGCGACCCCACCTCCCCTTCGCCCTCCCCATCATGCTCCCCTTCACCATCGTCCTCCCCCTCTCTAGCCTCGTCCGCCACCAGCGAGCCCAATTCCGTGTGCGCCGAGTCCGCGGTGGCTGAGCTCTGTGGACTTGGCGGCAGTAGCGGCCCGTACAATGGCTTCTCTGACCGATCGAGGCTGAACACGAACAGCAGTTCGGTCCAGAGGCGCCGCGAGTACGACTCGGAGGGGTCGCGCGGGTGCCGCGCCGCCGCCCACGCCAGGTCGCAAAACGACACGACAATGCCCAGAGCGCAGCCCACCACCAGAACTACAAATAACCCCACAAAGCTGTCCATCTCCAACTCCACGCCGCCGTGTTCCTCCTCCTCCTAAAGACCGAAAATAAATTTATTCAAAAACGAATTTTTTTGAAGTAAAAATTATTAATAGGCAATGTGTGATAAAAACTATTGTAAAATTAAATTGACCGGGTTTTATAAAAAGGCCTGTTTATTCGTCTTATTGGGCAGAGTAATAAAAATAGGTTAGATTAGGTTTTTCTTTGATGTGATATATTATATATATATATATATATATATATATATATATATATATATATATATATATATATATATATATATATATATATATATATATATATATATATATATATAACACTTAAACACAATAGGAAAACTTCTTTATAATCGTTGAGATTTGAAACTCGATGACACGAAAAAGCGACGCTAAAAAGAGACCAACATATAGGTACATCTATAGGCTGCAGCCTGCGAGAGAATGAGATAGAATACAGTGTTTCCTATTACCTATTACATAATTTAGTTTCCACAAGGCACTATCTTTTGTGGAAATTGAAAACTTTGAGTCTGTACAATACGAGTATGTAATGCAATATAAGTAGAAAAAAATGTAATTTTATTTAAAACTTGTTATACAATTATCCTACTCTTGAAACTGCATTCATCTCATTCTATCGAAGTTAAGTTTTGTGAAAGTTTCACTTCTACCGCATTTGATCTGCACACATGTTTTTTTGTACTTTATCTTTCACAGCAAGCGAGTCGTTTATCTCAGGGATCGAATAAGTCTGAAGATGATAAAGAGAGCGAACTGTGTACCTCAGTACCCGGGCCACTATAATTTAAAATTGATAATTTTGTACAGTCGACTTCAATATAAGTTATTAGGAATAACTAAAAAACTATTGGTTTGACCTTGATCAAATTTCACCACACGAGAAGTACCAGCTTTGAAATAAAAAAAAGAATTATCCAAATCGGTTCACCCAATAAAAAGTTATAAGTCACATAAAAAAAAACAAAAACATACAGTGGAATTGAGTACCGTCTCCTTTTTGGAAGTCGGCAGAAAATCAAATAATTTCAAGTGTTTAATAAATGAAGAAATCCTCGAATCCGGCAACTTGTTCTATCACCGGGAGGACCATCTGTCCCAAGGAGGTGTCGGATTTATAACGCACAAGTGATGTGTGCACAATGTGAACGCACAAGTCTCTCGTTAACAACGTTGTAAAGATTGAGGGTGTGTCGACGGGGGTTGCGTACCTTCTACTCAGAATCACCAAACGGTATTCGCTGAAGGTCATACAGGTTTACGCACCAACCTTGGCACACCCCGATCAGGAGGTGGAGGAAATGTATGAAGATATCTCTAGAGCCATGCATACCTCCAAAACCCACTATACAGTGTTAATGGGAGACTTCAATGCAAAACTAGGCACAAAAGAGACCGGTGAGCTGAAACTAGGGAAATTTGGAATAGGGCAACGGAACCCAAGGGGCCAGCAGCTGGCCGACTTCATGGAGAAAGAGGGACTCTTTATGATAAACTCTTTCTTCCAGAAGCGGCCTCACTGCAAGTGGACCTGGTCGAGCCCCGACGGTTCGATAAAAAATGAGATTGACTTCATTATGACGACCAGACGACAACTGTTCAGTGATGTCTCCGTGATCGCGAGGGTGAAAACTGGTAGCGATCACCGAATGGTTAAAGGCACACTGAACCTAAAGGTTAAGTTGGAGAGGTCTCGTCTAATGAAGTCAACGCTCCGTCCCCCTCGTGCTCTGTTTCAAAGTCCCGAAACCTTTCAGCTCGAGTTACAAAACCGTTTTCAGTGCCTAGAAGACTGCAATGAAGTGGACGATATGAATGACAAGCTTGTGGAAACTGTCCAAGCGGTTGGAGCTAAGTTCTGCAAGACCCGCCGCAGAAGAACACAAAAACTCTCCGATCACACTCTTAATCTCATGGCTGTTAGACGGGAGATGAAGCTACAGTCTTCAACAGATTTGACAGCATACAGGCAACTGAACAGACAGATCTCCAAATGCATGCGGCGGGACTTACTAACTTCAATACAGCTTGTATTGAAGAAGCGATCGAGCGGAACCAAGGCTCCAAAGTCTTTGCCAGAGATCTGTCTGCCAGAAAGAACCAACTATCAAAGCTAAAGACCGAGTGTGGCAGCATCGTATCCGGGACACCTGAGATTTTGAGTGAGATTGAGAGGTTCTATGGGCAGCTGTACACGTCATCGTTGGAGCCACACGCAAGTGTGAGTAACGATTCAAGAGCGAGTCTTATCCGACACTATTCCGAGGAAATCCTGGACGTAAGTCTGAGCGAAATTAGAATGGCTCTCCAGCACCTTAAAAACGGCAAGGCCCCAGGCGAGGATTTACAGCGGAGCTTCTGAAAGCGGGTGGAAAACCGGTACTTGAAGTCTTTCAGAAGCTCTTTAATTCCGTCCTCCATGGTGGCATTACAACGGAGGCGTGGAGCAGAAGTGCGGTGGTCTTTTTCTTCAAGAAAGATTACAATGCTCTCTTGAAGAACTACTAGAGAGATTTCCCTTCTGAGCCGCGTCTACGTGCTGTTTTCGAGAGTCATTACGAATCGTCTCGCGCGCAGACTTGACGACTTCCAGCCTCCCGAATAAGCCGGTTTCCGAAAGGGCTTTAGCACCACAGACCACATATATACCCTTCGGCAAATTGTACAGAAGTCCGAAGAGTACAATTAGCCACTACGTCTGGCGTATGTGAACTATGAGAAAGCCTTTGATTCCGTCGAAATTTGGGCGGTGCTGCAGTCCCTTCAGCGGTACCAAGTTGACTGTCGGTATATCGAAGTGCTGAAGTGTTTGTACAGTAGAGCTACGATGGCTATCCGAGTACAGAACCAGAGTACGAAACCTATCCAACTGCAGAGAGGTGTAAGACAGGGTGATGCTATATCCCCGAAACTCTTCACAGCTGCATTGGAAGACGTTTTCAAGCTTCTGGACTGGAATGGATGCGGTATTAACATCAATGGCGAGTACATCACTCACCTTCGATTTGCCGACGATATAATCCTTATGACAGAATCTTTGGAGGACCTAAGCATTATGCTCAATGACCTCAATAGTGTCTCCCAACGGATAGGTTTTAAGATGAACATGGACAAAACAAAAATCATGTTTAACGTCCATGTCACACCTATGCCGGTAGTTGTTGGGAGCACTAAGCTCGAAGTTGTTGACGAGTATGTTTACCTGGGAGAAATAGTCCGACTAGGTAAGTCCAACTTCGACCGAGAGGTCAATCGACGGATTCAACCCGGCTGGGCAGCGTTCGGGAAACTACGACACATCTTCTCGTTAGACATACCTCAAAACCTAAAAACGAAATTGTACAACCAGTTCGTGTTGTCAGTGATGACTTACGGATCTGAGACGTGGTCCTTCACTGCTGGCCGTATGAGGAAGCTCAAGGTCGCTCAGCGAGCTATGGAGAGGGCTATGCTCGGGGTGTTTCTGCGTGATAAACTTAGAAATGAGGATATCCGCAGTAGAATCAGAGTAACCGACATAGCCCAACGGATTAGTAAGCTGAAGTGGCAGTGGGCCGGCCATATAGCTCGAAGAACCGACAACCGATGGGGAAGAAAGGTTCTCGAGTGGCAACCTCGTACCGGTAGGCGAAGTGTAGGGTGACCCCCCACTAGATGGAGTGACGACCTGGTGAGACACGCAGGAAGTCGATGGGTGCAGGAGGCTCAGGACCGTGCTTTTTGGCATTCCTTGGGTGAGGCCTATGTTCAGCAGTGGACTTGTAAATGGCTGTAATGATGATGATGAATAAATGAAGATGGAATAAATTTCAAGAAAATCTGTAAAGAAATTCGTGGACATGTTAAGTTATACATGCGTGACGGGAACCCATTAGCTGCATTACATTTAAAAATAAGCCAAAGCCTATTGTGTTCTACATTGAAGTTTCTGTTGACTGTTAATTATTTTACATGTCGATTTTAGGCAGCAGCGTCTTCGTACTAACAAATAAAAAATAAATGCAGTTGCCAACGTCATCTACGAGGAAGGGGTGTGTTCGGCCGTGAACTTTTGAAAGAATGTAACGGTAACGGTAATACTTTTTATGGACCAAATCATGTATTTTTTTTATTTAATCATGTAATATAGCTTTTAAGTAGCCATCCCTGACAAAATTGTGCGAGATATGTGTGGGAATATGCGATGTTGTCGGCTAATAATGTACTAGTCAGTAATGCCTATGACTCACAGAAGGTGCCTGAGGTGCCTATCGACTTCAGTAATTAAAATCTCAAAGTCACTGATGTTGTATTCAGAAATTACAATTTACAGGTTAAGCTATACCTATGTTACGAGCGATACAATATATTTCCTACTTGGTAGCGCCCTAGCGTGGGCTGCGACGGGGAACCACCGGCGTTCGCCGTTGAGCGCACTCCAGACACAAGTGTAAAATGTCAAATCAGCAAAATTCATGTAACTGCTGTGTCCCTACAAAATAATTCTTAGGGTTCTTATATAAAGTTATGAAATATTTGTTTGACGACAATACGCGCGACTGAAGATGGCAACTGAATATGTGAAGCTTAAAATTGAGTTAAGTGACAGTCATGTGTGTGGTCATGACTAGCGGTGGACTGCCGCAGGCAGTGTCTGATAATGACGATTACGTGACGGTTACCGCACTCGTTGCATTTTAAAATAAATGGAAATAAGTTAAATTCCACCACTTCATATGTGACAGGTGAAGATAAACATATTATGTACGGAACAAATTATGTATGGAACGTACCATGGCTCCATCCATCACAGCCTATAAAAGTCCACTGCTAAACAAAGATTTCCCCCGTGTGTGTAGATGCCACGCTTGGCATGCGGATCGGCAACCGCAGTTTCTTATTATTTTAAGTCGTTATCCGTTATCAAGGAGATGTTGCTGCCCATCGCCTGTTTCAATTTCCGTCTGTCGACACCTTCTGCTTACGAAGTATGTAGTAGATATTCTTACATCGCCACGGTACCGTGGTTCATCATTAAGTTCCTTCACATGTTCATTGCTGAATATAGGCCTCCCCCAACTTCTCATGTGCCCAAGGTAAGCTACAAAGCACGTTCCTGAGCCACCTGCACCGATCAACTTCCTGCATGTCTTAACAAGTCGTCACTCCATCTAGTGTTTATTTATTTATTTAACAAGTAGACGTTTTTGTGACAATATACATATACGACATTGTCACAAAATCATACACACTTTTATATTTTCTAATATGCATATCAATTAAAAGTGTACATAACTTTTACAGATTGAGTCGTGCAACTTAATTTAGGATTAATTTGGAGTAGGAAAAACATCCAATCAATACAATAAAATGAGAAATAATTTAAGTAAATTAAGTGACTAAATAGTTAAAAAACTGTATTAAAAAAAATCAGGTTCAATTATTGAAAAAGATAATTTAAAATTAAAAATTTTGTACAGTCGACTTCAATATGAGTTATTAAGAATAACTCAAAAACTATTGGTCCGACCTTGATCAAATTCATATGGGAGAAGTACACGAGAAGTACCAGCTTTCAAATAAAAAAAGAATCATCTAAATCGGTTCACCCAGTAAAAAGTTATGAGTTAACACACATAAAATAAAAAACAAAAACATACAGTTAAATTGAGTACCATCTCCTTTTTGGAAGTCGGCAGATAATGGTAGATATTGTACTTTCTTTATAAGTATGCACATTTTTAATTTAAGTATAAAATAGATTCTATTCAAAATATAATTTTTAACAGGAACTACGAATTAGTAGTGTAGTGTGACGCCGCCCCCTACACTTCCATGTTAGACACCATTACGAGGCTGCCACACCTCGAGAACATTTATTCCCCATCGGTTGTCAGTTCTTCGAGCTACATTGCCACTTCAACTTACTAATTTGTTGGCTATGTCGGTTACTCTGGTTCTTCTGCGTATAATCTCATTGTTAAGTCTATCACGCAGAGAAACCCCTAGCAGTGAAGGACCACGTCTCAGATCCATAAGCCATCACTGGCAACACGTACTGGTTGTACTGGTGTACCTCGGCTCAATTAAACTTAATCCACTTTCACCTTACAAGCGCCACCGCCGTGCATCTCCTTCCACCAGCGTTGCTTCATCTCGCGCAGCACACCCGCCTCCTGTAGGTTGAGCAGCGCGAGATTCATCGCCTGTCGGTACGGCGAATCTGCAATGAAACTTTTTCCCTCATGCGATCATAGAATTATTAACACTTTTGTTCAAGGTATAATAGAGTCAAAGCTAACTTTTTATAGAATAAGTGCGACAAACTAGCACACAGTTTACCTGATGGTAAGTGCGTTTTACAGCACCTATTGTCAAGGGCAAACTGAGGTGTTTGACGTCCTAATGTTACAGTTAAACCGGACTACATTTAGCTTTATATATTCATTTTGGTCTGATTTACGCACAGTACACCCGTTAGGCACTGAGGTTATCCCAAAAAAAAACGTAGTAGCGCCATACTACAGATACATTATAGTTGCAGCATGATTGGGTCGGCTCGACCGGGGTAGAACCACTCGCTCACAGAATACCAGCGTAAAATAGCAGCTTAACACTGCTGTGTTTCGTGTAGTGAGTGTAGAGAACCGGAGACCCTTTTCACTGGAAACGAGGCATTCCATCTTAGTCCATCTGCATTTCCATTCTTAATCGAAGATAAATATACATGCCTCAGCATCCATTTATTATCCATCAGGTGGACTGTGTGCTAGTTTGTCACCCATATTCTATTAAAAAAAAATACTTCACATCTCTTTCAATCATATTTTCAATATAACCAACTAGCTGACTAAAAATGACCGGAAAATATTATCTCTTACTCTTTTTCATAGCAATTCCGTATCCCTTGTTGTCCAACAGATCACCCACCTGCAATAGCATTTTTTATTATTATTTTGGTAAACGTATTATTAAGAAATTGTAAAGAAGTTGAAAATTGTGAAAGTGAATTAAAATTGTATGAAATTGTATATACTAGGAAAGAATGTAGTGGAGATGTAAGAATATCTTTTTCAACAGTGGTAGAGCCACACTGCAGCTTTTGCTGTAGCACGGATGGGCCGGCTCTAACCGGGGAATATTACCACGACCTCAAATAATACCAGCGTATAGTAGAAGCTTTGCTTCTGTGGTTCGCTTGGTTAACCCTCCCCCCCTCAAATGGTAGCGGAATTCAAAAAGAAGTAGAATGAGAATCCCTCACTGAGCATCCACGGTCAAGCTACCCTCTTTTTGAGCGTGGGTGCTCAGGCTACCCCGTGTATGCTGGGGGGCAAAATCCCGCTCTATACCGCACGGGGTAAACAGAGTGATAAAACCATGGCGACCCCTGCCACGCTATCCGTGGACTTCTGTAACATCAGGGGGTTTCACTCGAACCTTAACGCCGACCAATACCATCTGGAGACGGCGTAGCCGGCCTTGCTCTTTTTGACCGAGACACAGGTGTCCTCTCCGACTGATACTTAGTACCTATCATACCCGGGGTACAAATTAGAACACTTCTTTGTGCCCCGGGCTGGAGTTGGTCGTTTTTTTTAAAGAAATCAGAAATACTACTTGTAAGGTGACGGCATTCACTCACCATGGTGATGTCGCAGAAGCGCTCGATGTTGTACTCGATGGAAGTCGACTCCATCAAAAATGCGTAGTTCTCATTTCTTACTCTGTTTTAAAATATATTGTTTTAAAAAAATCATATAATAAAGCGTTAGCTTAAATTTCCGTATAGTGATGAGATATAAAACAATACAGTTGAAAAATACGTCTTTCATACATCCTGATATTTAATAAAAGGTCCTCAGCGACTAACTCAAGTGCGTAATCATTTAATACGCCATCATAACGATATCAGCATCTTAAGATTATTGCTAATTAATAAACACATAAAAACAGTATCTCAATTACCAAGATCAACTCCTCGAGACTCTGTAATTGAGATAGTGTTCCGTAACTTGAGGGCTTGATCTCGTGAACAATTCAGTCACATTGACAGGATATCGTTTATCAAATTTTACGTTATAAAGTTGTGTTATACTTAGGAAATCCTTAAATTGTTCAAACTGTAGTGTATATTTTTCTAAATACGTCTTTAATATTTAGTATTAAATTTCACATGTAGAAATAACCTAACGCATTAAAGGGACTGCAAAAAAGAGACGAAGAACAACACCAAACAACATCTCCTTGCTTAAAGCGTAGTGATTTTAAACTCTTTGCTTGCTCACTTATAATATCACTGATCTCGCATTATAATTTAATTAATGGAGAACATGGAGAAAAAATGCTTTTTTGATATTAACTAGTAACTCATTCCTTATATAAGTTTTTAGTAAACGATTTCCCGAAGTTCGTAAAATATCGTAATAAGTAGTACCTACTCTATTTCAACGTAATAATGAATTTCACTAAAATATTTTCAAACTCCGTGATTCGCGCTACTACAATCACGATCTCAAGTCAAGGGCCGCCTGCACTCAGATTTTAGCATCTCATGTACACGCACCTAGTGTGTACTTGAGAGTCGAGTTTCGTTTATTAAATAGTGCGTCACTCAGCTCATAACGTAAACCTAAGCCGCAACTTGAAGTATACCTATTAATAAGATCATTACTTCAATATTGTTCCCAAGTGCGTGCACTTGAGCTGAGGACCGGTTATTAATACCTAAGGGCCTTAGAGTATGTAAATACTACGTTTCAAGAATAACCGTACACTTAATGGTAAGTGAATTGCCCACATGAACGTACATTACGTACATTCGATCAAGATTCATAATGCAGATGCGTTGTTACACCAGAGGAATAAAATGGAATTCCTTGTTTCTAGTCAAATTTGTCTTCGGTTCTTGCACTCACCATTAGGGATAGGAAAGTAAAAAAAAAATATTTCGATATATATCGTATCGGTATTTTTGAACAGTATCGATTTATATCGCGTGATGCATGCCGCAAAACGAACGGCCAGCCGCTAGTGCGTTCTTGCGCCAAAACTAGCGTGGCTCTAGTACGTAATAATTAAAAATTAAAAATTTTGTACAACCGACTTCAATATAAGTTATTAAGAATAACGCAAATAACTCAAAAACTATTTGTCTGACCTTGATCAAATTCATATGGGACCACACGAGAAGTATCAGCTTTCATATAAAAAAAGAATCATCGAAATAGGTTCACCCAGTAAAAAGTTATGAGGTAACAAACATAAAAAAAACATACGCGTCGCATTGAGTACCGTCTCCTTTTTTGAAGTCGGCAGAAAATACAGCAGTCCGAGCTGCGTTTAGCATATAGTTAATTTTTATCTGATTTACGCAGAATGAGCTAATAGTATTTCGTATTTTCGTAAAATTATAGACATTTCATTTTTGAAAACTCTGTAGTCTTGGGATTGGGGCAATAGGAGATATGGGGAGCCCATCGCTACACCTACACCACACCATTAACTTGTTCGTAGAATTGTTCCCACTACAAGAGATGTGTCAGGCAATGTTTGAGCTTTGAGTACACATACGCCATATTCTTTGTTAATTAAAACCGGTAAGTTTTTCTATAAAATAATTGTTATATTATTTATACTGATTGTAACACTATGTTTATCGTAAAACTGTCGCTATCTTTATTTTGAAGGAACAGTTCATTGACCTTCGCTTAGTGAAAAGTGATTATTTGACATCATGTGTAAATTTTAATTAAAATAAATAAAATTTCAGTGGCTAAAATAATAATCACGTACATTCAGTAGAACTATTAATAAAATATAATATTTGATTTTTCTTACGCTAGACATATATACACAAAGACTTCTATGTACGGACACGACGGTACTTATACACTGCGCACCAAGTTACGGTCAATCCTCCGTAACTTCTACTCGACTGCGAGCTGTCGAGAAAACTAGTTCTTTGTGTTTTAAACCGCGAATGTTGTTTTCGACTATTGAACACTGATTTTGTTTAATGTGTGTAAAAAAACGATGTCATTATTTACGTGCACACTTTGTCAATGACACGCTACCCGGTACCCCGTGCGGTTCGTGTGTTGCGCGTGGCTCACAGCTAGCAGTCTAGTTGTAGGTAAAAAAAAGTCTTTGTATATACGTAATATATCTATGTTATATATTATATGGAAGTCGTCAACTACATCTTACTTCTCAATGCCAGCGGGGTTCGAATCCGGCTGCTTCTGATCTTTCATTTTCTGGAACATCCGTTGGTACAGCGAATTTTGTGAGATCTGCAGTCAAATCCTTTCTTTAGTGTTTTATCACCTACAATTGACCACTGTAATTCTTTAATTAATTATTATTGAGCAGCCAGCGTTCTCGGCACCGTTTACATACCGCGAGGAACATGATTAAATTATAATGTTACATTGTTTTAAAATGTGATTACTATATTACTTCTTGTAATACTCGTACAAAACATTTCATGATTTAACTTTAAGCATTTTATCGTATTTAATTACTAGCTGTTACCCGCGACTTAGTCCGTGTGGAATTTTTATTACGATCGAATTTTATGCCCGGAAGGAAGTTAGCGCAGAATATTTTTTTAAATTAAACTGTATGCCAATTAATTGCTCCTGAAATGTTCTCTTTAGTTTACTTGAAAAAAAATATTAGATTTTTTGCAAGATTTATTTAATGTAAAAAACTGTTTGCATGCAAATTGTTGCACTATGACGTCATTGCTGGTCGTTGAATCCACTAAAAACTACGAGTATGTCCACATGAATCCCCATTACGACAATTTCATGTTCGCCTTAATGTTTGTATTTTAATTTTAGGGTTATATAGCCGTATTATAATAATAGTGTCCTCCAGACCGAATTTCGGTCACGGCGGCCAGTCTGAACGGAGACTAGCCATCGGCGCAGGACAGGTTTATAGCGTACGAGTGTATGCGTAAGCACAGCTGCACTCTCTATTCCCTCACTCTCATAGTCCGATGGAACGGTAAACCGACACGACCGGAGAGAGATCAGACAAAGGACAGAGAACGGCTTTACGTGTTTTCCGAGGCACGGGGGTGAGGCACCGCCAACTTCCTGACTCCGGGTAGCTACTGAGAATTTCTTGATAGAAAACTCAATAACTGATTTTTTTGGCTCGACCCGGGATTCGAACCCGAGACCTCATGATCAGCACTCGCACTCCTACAACCACTAGACCAATGACGCAGTCGTATTATTATGATACTGTAAAATAATACCATTTATTAATTGCAATACTCTGCTTAAAAATGAAAAATCGTCGGTTTCATTATTTAAATTATTTTATTCATACTATTGTATTGGGCCGTGTAGTGGCGGTTAAGAATATCCACTACCCCATATCTTCCCGTGGGTGTCGTAATAGGCGACAAAGGGATACAGGCAGGAGTTGGGCTGATAACAGCAAAATTACAATAAAAAAACTGCGGTTGCCAACCCGCTCGCCAAGCGTAGCAACTATGGCAAATACCCCCCAATGATAAGAGCAACAAAGAGACGGCCCCCAGTCCTCGGCGGCCCCGCTATTCCTGGCTACGGTAGCGACCATGGTAACGGCGGGGCAGGGGGTGCTAAGAATCTCCGGTGGAGGTTCGGTTGCCACCTAAAACAACTCGACCTGGCAACATACAACGCACGCACCCTGAGGACTGACGAGAAGATCGTGCAGATGGAAGAAGAGATAGACAAGTTACGCTGGCATATTATAGGATTATCCGAGGTCCGAAGAGAGGGAGTAACAACAGTAACGGAGTAAGACACGGTAATCCTCGAATCCGGTAAATAGCTCTATCACCGGGAAGGCGACTATCTGTCCCAAGGAGGTGTCGGATTTATCGTCCACAAGTCTCTCGTTAACAACGTTGTAAAGAATGAGAGTGTGTCCACGAGGATTTCGTACCTTATACTCAGAATCACCAAACGGTATTCGCTGAAGGTCATATAGGTTTACGCACCAACCTCGGCAAATCGCGATGAGGAGGTGGAGGAAATGTATGACAACTGAGATTTTAAGTGAGATTGAGAGGTTCGTTTCATCGTCTTTCATCGTTGGAGCCACACGCAAGTATAAGTAACGATAGAAGATATCCCGGACGTCAGTCTGAGCGAGATTAGAATGGCTCTCCAACACCTTAAAAACGGCAAGTCCCCAGGCGAGGATGGAATTACAGCGGAGCTTTTGAAAGCGTGTGGAAAACCGGTACTTGAAGACTTTCAGAAGCTCTTTAATTCCGTCCTACATGGTGGCACTACTCCGGAGGCGTGGAGCAGAAGTGCGGTGGTGGTTCTTCAAGAAAGGCAACAATGCCCTCTTGAAGAACTACAGACCAATTTCCCTTCTGAGCCGCGTCTACGTGCTGTTTTCGAGAGTCATTAGGAATCGTCTCGCACGCAGACTTGACGACTTCTAGCCTACCGAACAAGCCGGTTTCCGAAAGGGCCTTAGCACCATAGACCACATACATACCCTTCGGCAAGTTGTACAGAAGTCCGAGGAGTACAATTTGCCACTATGTCTGGCGTATGTGGACTATCAGAAAGCCTTTGATTCCGTCGAAATTTAAGCAGTGCTGCAGTCCCTTCAGCGGTGCCAAGTTGACTGTCGGTATATCGAAGTGCTGAAGTGCTTGTACAGTCGAGCTACGAAGGCTATAACTGCAGAGAGGTGTAAGACAGGGTGACCTTATATCCCTGAAACTCTTCACCGCTGCATTGGAAGACGTTTTCAAACTTCTGGACTGGAAAGGATACGGTATTAACATCAATGGCGAGTACATCACTCACCTTCGATTTGCCGACGATATAGTCCTTATGGCAGAATCGCTGGAGGACCTAAGCACTATGCTCAATGACCTCAATAGTGTCTCCCAACGGATAGGTCTTAAGATGAATATGGACAAAACAAAAATCATGTTTAACGTACATGTCACACCTATGCCGGTAGTTGTTGGGAGCACTAAGCTCGAAGTTGTTGACGAGTATATTTACCTGGGACGAATAGTCCAACTAGGTAAGTCCAACTTCGACCGAGAGGTTAATCGACGGATTCAACTCGGCTGGGCAGTGATCGGGAAACTACGATACATCTTCTCGTTAAACATACCTCAAAACCTGAAAACGAAATTGTACAACCAGTGCGTGTTGCCAGTGATGACTTACAGATCTGAGACGTGGTCCTTCACTGCTGGCCGTATGAGGAAGCTCAAGGTCGCTCAGCGAGCTATGGAAAGGGCCATGCTCGGGGTTTCTCTGCGTGATAAACTTAGAAATGAGGATATCCGCAGTAGAACCATAGTAACCGACATAGCCCAACGGATTAGTAAGCTGAAGTGGCAGTGGGCCGGCCATATAGCTCGAAGAACCGACAACCGATGGTGAAGAAAGTTTCTCGAGTGGCAGCCTCGTACCGGTAGGTGAAGTGCAGGGCGTCTCCCCACGAGATGGAGTGACGACCTGGTAAGACATGCAGGAGGTCGATGGATGCAGGTGGCTCAGGACCGTGCTTTGTGGTATTCCTTGGGGGAGGCCTATGTTCAGCAGTGGACTTATGAAAGGCTGTAATGATGCTTCATAGTATTGTTAGCTATCTACTTTAGGTAGTGATATAAGTATTTGTTTATATAATAATGACATATGGCAGCACTAAGTTGATAGTCCATTAAATGTAATATTAAGTAAGGTATGTTAAGTATGTTCAGTTAAGTATTAATGATTATTGCAATACTTATACTAATGTAAATATTTTTTACATCTCTTTTGTAATATATTTATGTAAGTTAAACGTTCATGCAACTCTCGTTTCGGAGTCATGGTTAAAGCAATGTCCCCCATCCTTATCCTATTCCATTCCAGGATTCCAGTTAATACACAATTACCACATTGCGCGGGGTGGTGGTGGTGTTGCCATTTACCTTCGTGTGCATATACCTTTTTCTACTGTTCGTTTATCATCTCAATTTCCAGCTGAGAACGAAGCGAAATACTTATTTATTGAAGACCTTCTTTCGCACAACAAATTACCTCCCGGAGTTTTTTATAGTCCTTCTTCCACAGTTGACTATTTTACTACATTGGCAACCTTATTGAAGAGCAACTCCATTATATACACATACAGTGCTAATGGGCGATTTTAATACTTGCCTTATTTAGAATGATGTCCGATTTCTTCGGCTTAAGTCCTTATAGAAGGAGCCAATTTAAATATTCTTCCTCTTTCTGAAACTCATTTTTTTCCTAACTTTATTTTATCCCTCCTTGATTTGGTTATCCTTCCTTCTCTCGACCATGTTGATAAATTTCGTCAATATGCTACCGAAGCCTTGTCCTATCATGCCCTCCTGTTTCTATCTTATAAAATAAGACCACCGAAAGCCAAATCAAGGATACTTCTGCAGCGTAATTTTAAGGAAATGAATTTGGAAATGCTACAAAAAGACACTGCTAATATGGACTGGTGTGTTATAACAAAGGCTTACTCTGTTGACGAACAGGTAGCATTGTTTAATTCACTTCTTTTTCATTTCTATGATACATATGCTCCTGTGCGTCTAGTGCGAATACGTCATCGTACAGGCCCGTGGTTGACTGAAGATCTTAAAAGATTGATAGGTAGGAAGAATAACGCAAAGTCGAGTTACAGATTAGATCCATAGAATGACTGAATGTAGTACAGACTCCTGTAGAATCAATGCAACAAGATGTGTAGATGTTGTTGCCGCCGCCATATCCATAAATCAGTACAAAACGAAGATACATGTTGGGTTTGGAACTTTTTAAGGTCCATAGGAGTTGGGAACACACGTTCATGCCGTATACCAAATAACGCGTTTACCGCTAAAAAGAACCCCTTTGGCATATCTCTTCAATTTCAAGGCACTCCCCTTTCTGTCTCAGCTAGCATCGGAATACTCGGCGTGAACATATCGAATAGTGTATAGTTTCGTGGTCGCTTGGAAGGGAAGGCCAAATTAGCCTCTAAAAAGCTTGGCGGGCTCAGCAGAGCGAGACAGTATTTCATACCGGCACATCGCTTGCAAATTTACAAAGCGCAAGTACGGCCTCACATGGAATACTGTTCTCATCTCTGGGCCGGGGCACCCCAGTGCCAGCTCCTTCCACTTGACCGCATCCAGCGCAGAGCGGTTCGAATCGTGGACGACCGAGTTCTTTGTGATCGGCTCGATACACTGTCACTGCGTAGGGATGTTGTATCTCTTTGCATTTTCTATCGAATTTACTATGGGGAGTAGTCTGAGGAATTGTTCGGATTAATTCCAGCCGCCAAATTTCACGAACGCACATCGCGTCAAAATCCATTATATCATCCTCGTCATCTGGATGCTTGGCGGTCCACCACTGAGCGTTTTACTAGGAGTTTTCTTCCTCGTACAACTTCTCTGTGGAATTGTTTACCATCGGCGATTTTTCCGGACCGATACGACTTAGGGGCCTTCAAGAAAACAGCTTACACCTTTCTAAAAGGCCGGCAACGTATCTGCAATTCCTCTGGTGTTGCGGTTGTTCATGGGCGGCGATAGTCACTCACCATCAGGTGAGCTGCTCTTCTATAAAAATAAAAGAATAATCATGCGAGGCGAGTTCATCGGGTTGAATGTTCAAGATAACAATATCAGAAATTTTTTATACTCATTTCCTTTTTATTAAATTTGTTAGTGTTAAATAAAAAAAAATAGTATTATTTTATAGTATCATAATAATACGGCTATATAACCTTAAAATTAAAGTATAAACATTAAGGCGAACATGATGTTGTCGTAATAAGGACTGAAATCGTCGGGAATGAAACTTGTCACCTAATTAGCACCTATAAAACCACTATTTTGGCTTCTTCTAAATGTAATTTTGATTCTATTTTGATTTTTAGAAGACCTGATTTTTGCATTTGCTTTGTTCTGAATAACGACTTTATTTTTATTATTTAGGTACTTGCAGCACTTAATACACTAATACACACTTAGGGGATACGTTTTGCCAGCATCGCAAAATTTCAACAGTTCGTGTTGAACAGTGAAAATTTTATAGCACTTAATTTTTAAACTTGGCACCTAGTTGGCACCTAAAAACTCCTAATTTTGGCTTTTTCTAAATGCAAATTCCTGACTATGCGTTGCTGGCGAGACACAACTACCATGTATGCCTTTAGAAACGTAAGAAAGCTAACGTAACATTTAATGCTTACTACTCACATAATCGACATGTCTTGCAGGCGCAATAATACCACTGCCAATAAAATGAAAATTATGAGAATAGGGTAGACAAACGTTAGATAAGATTCAGAAGGAATTGGCATCCGTAACTATTTGAGTTGTCCGATTTATATAATATTTTCAGTTTTAAATATTATTTATTGTGGAAATATTTTTTAAAATTTGGAAAATTTATGTAGTTTAATTAGAAATGTTAATACATTCAGTGAAGTTGAATGATATATAACTATCAAATAAATTTGACGGTGCAACACGCGCGCCACCTACTGTAAGTTATTTATACTTTGTTATAACCTACGTTATATATATATATATATATATATATATATATATATATATATATATATATATATATATATATATATAAGATGGTAACATTACTCAAAAACAAAATTAGAGTTCCGCGCAAAAAAATTGATATCCATGAAATCGTAGTAAATTCCACGCGGGCTAAGTAGCTAGTTTAAAATAAATCGAAATTTTTAACCTCAAAAAACTTATACGTGGAGCCACCATCCTTGGCGCCGTATTCGATGTCGTACGGGTTGTCGGCGAGCTCCTGTACATTGTGGATAAGGTCAGTGGGGTTTTTCTTGGCCAACAGCGTGGCGAGGTTGGCTGTGTAAGAGCTTGTGATGACCAGAGCGAACAGCCACCAGGCGCTGGCCACCGCGCGCGAGCCGTACGCGCTGCAAGCAATACAATTCAGGCATCAAGGACTTAAAAATTAAGAATTTGATTCATAACAATATAGAACATTTTTATAGAATATGGGTAAGAAACGATCACACAGTCCACCAGATGGTAAGTGGATGCTGTGGCCCATAGATATATACATTTATTCTCGATTAAGAAACAAAATCTAGATGCGTTGTCACCCCTGAGGATTAAGATGGAATGCCTCGTTTTCAGTAAAAATGGTCTCCGGTTTTCTACACTCGCCATATGCAACACAGCATCATTAATCCGCTATTTTACGCTGGTATTCTGTGATAGCGTGGCTCTACCCCGGTCGAGTCGACCCATTCGTGCTACAACCATAATATAGCTGCAGCGTGGCTTTACCACGTATATAAAAAAAATTAAACATAAATATAACACTATTTAGAGAACTTTATTTTTTAGCGCGTCCTTGTGTCGGTGAAACACTACTCCATAGATGAATGTCACTTTCAGCGAGGAATGTCTCAGACGCTGCAAATGTGCAGGGACCGGATCCTCAATGCAGCATCGGCTTCGTCCTTCCACGAAACGCAGGACGTCTTCTCCCGACGTACCTACTTCTGTGTAATCCGGAGAAGAAAAGCTGTATGGTGGGCCACTCAGAGTTGTATTTGCGGTCCGAGTCAGTGCGCCGAGTGTACCTTGACGGTCCCTCGCTGGTTACAAACGGGGCTCTACCGACGTCTCTTACCAACAAGAGCAAACGCGTCATTAGTCATCATCGATCTGGTTGCTTATGATTAATGCATCTGATGTTTATTACCATGATTTTGTTCGACTTATTCAAATAGAAGTTTTATGTGTACCTATTTGCCTTCGCTTCACTGCATAGTACCTACATCAAATTATACTCGTAACAACAATAACAATATGATATGATGATGATAACCGCGTAATGGCGGTGGAAGATTATCTACTACCGCATATCGTCCCGTGGGTGTCGTAACAGGCGACAGAGGGAAACAGGTGTCAGGCAGGTTTTTTTACGTGGTAGAGCCATACTGTAGCTATGTTATGGTTGTAGCACGAATGGGTCGGCTCGACCGGGTAAGGACCACGCTCTCACAGAATACCAGCGTAAAATAGCAGCTTAACGCTGATGTGTTTCGTATGGTGAGTGTAGAGAACCGGAGACCCTTTTTACTGGAAACGGGGCATTCCATCTTCGTCCTCACGGGTGACAACGCATCTGCATTTTGATTTGTAATCGACGATAGATGCAGATGTCTATGGGCCACAGCAACCACTTACCATCAGGTGGACTGTGTGCTCGTTTGTCACCTATAAAAAAAGGCAGCAGCATTTACCTGATAAAAAGCTGAGGTTGCCAATCTGCCTACCAAGCGTGGCAACCACGGCGAAATCCCTCCTATGACCTACGTTCAGCAGTGAATTTTTATAGACTGTAATGGATAAACTGATGGGATGTTAAAGTTAAGAGTTACAGCCTATATACCCTATATATCATTTCTGTGAGGGGTTTTCAGGGCAAGGAAATGTTCAATGCGTATTGGCGAGCCTCACATGTCTTCGAAGTATTTTTTTCTTATTTCTCAGACATGCTGGTTCCTTAATTTAAAAAAAAATGTGCCACTGTAAATAAAAAGCGTAAGAGACAAGAGCAGTCGGTACTGCAACACTGCAAGTAAACATCTAAAAATGTACGCGAGCACTTACACGGGGGCAATCTCAGAGCCCTGTAGCAGAACAGCTCCGAGGTTGAACCATAGCGCATTGGACAAAGTAAACTGGTTCTCCAGCACTGGCGGGTCCTCGATGCAAGGGTACGGGTTCTGCCATTCCTCGGGACACAGTCGTCCCACCACGTACAGCACCAGTGACGTTCCTAAGTAGGCAAATCCTAAGCACACCCACACCTGCCGCAAAACATTAAGCAAATATTATTAAGAAAAATAGATTTATTCTCGTGATGAGCGCTCTGTGGTGCAGTGGCTTAACAATGAGTTGCAGCGCTAAGGGCCGCGGGTTCTAACCTCGCACGGAACAAGTACTTGAAGAACTATTCCGGGTCTGGATTTTTTTATAGGAGAGGGGGCAAACGAGCATGCGGCTTACCTGATGGTAAGTGACTACCGCCGCCCATGAACAACTGCAACACCAGGGGAATTGCAGATGCGTTGCAGGCGTTTTAAAATGGAATAGGCTCTTTTCTTGAAGGTCCCTAAGTCGTATCGGTCCGGAAAAATCGCTGGTGGTAATTGATTCCACAAAGAAGTTGTGCGAGGAAGAAAACTTCTTCTAAATCGCACAGTGGTGGACTGCCAATCATCCAGATGGTATGGATGTTTGTCCTAGTGAAACTTATGTATGTAAACTATACAGGATAAAACACATACACGATACAGGAGACAATCCTAGTGTGGAGGTAAAGCTTCTTACAATAAGATAAGAAAAATGAAATACATAAGATTACTTATTATGGGGAGCCTAAAGTACGGCGCAAGAAATGTAAATTGGCCGCGGTCAATATTTCTATTCACCGCGTTTAATTTCATCTTATTTTATATCTGTACCACATACTCGTATCAAACGGCCGCGTGTTCATATAATATCAACCCTTTTAACAGGTAAGGAAACATTTCATTTGAGAGCACAAGATGATACGAGTAGCCAATACGTCACTGAGTTGCTAAGATAGTCTCGTCTAAAATTGGTTATATTTTCTTCTTAGTTCACCTACAAAGGATATAAAGGCTGATTTACACCGGGTCAGTAACAGGCGCCAGTACTTGCGCCGAGGACTGACTTGCATTGTTTACACGCAGTCAGTAGTCGTGGTAACTTATTGAGGGTCTACGCACGTTATTGGTGTCAGAGAGCAAAAATCAATTAACGGAAACGGCAGAAATTACAACGAATGAAATATTTGTTGAGAAAATGTACCTATATATTGTTGAAAGAGTTAACGGAAATGTTAGAAGAAGAGATATTTAAAAAGAAACGACTTTGGATAAGAAAGTGGATAGCCGACAGAAAACAAACTGGAGGTTATGCATTGTTGTTGACGCGACGTCACCCTACAATGCAGCACCAGTATTGACTTGGTCGTTTAGACCCTTGTCTAAACCGCTGGCACAGGTGGCGGGGAGAGTGGACTGACTTCAAAGTATTCAAGCAGGAATATTGAAGTCAACACTGGCACGACAGCGCTGTGCTGACTCCAAATCAATTTGCACTATGCCAGTATCGGGTCCGCACTGACTTGCCTGGTATTTGGAGCCAGTTAATGACTCTGTGTAAAACAGCCATAATATATCCTTCGACTACTTCACTGATCTCGTGGTCGCAAAACGCGGTTGCTAATCACGAGGTCTCGGGTTTGAATCCCAGGTCGGGCCAAAATCAGTTATAGGGTTTTTCTTTCAAGAAATTCTCTGTAGCATTCCGAAGTCAAGGAAGGTGGAACACCAAGCGCTGTCTCACCCCCGCCCTCGGGAAGCACGTAAAGCCGTTGGTCCTGCGCGTGATTCCTCTCCGGTCATGTCGGGTTACTGTACCATCGGACGATAAGAGGTTTTTTTATAGAATAAGGGTGATAAACGAGCACACAGTCCACCTGATGGTAAGTGGATACTGTGGCCCATAAACATCTACATCTATGTTCGATTAAGAATCAAAATGTAGATGCGTTGTCACCAGTGAGGACTAAGATAGAATGCTTCGTTTCCAGTAAAAAGTGTCTCTGGTCCTCTACACTCACCATACGAAACACATCAGTATTGAGCTGCTATTTTGCGCTGGTAATCTATGAGAGCGAAATCCTTACCCGGTCGAGTGGACCCATTCGTGCTACAACTATAAACTAGCTGCAGTATGGCTCTACCATGTTAAACGTATGTGAGGGAATAGAGAGTACACCTGTGCTTGGGCATACACTAGGGCACTATATTCCTGTCCTCCGTTGCTGAAGTGACCGAAATTCGGTCTAAAGGACATTATTATTCTTTATAAATTAAAAAAGTTGATAAGGTACTCCGCTTGAAAAAGGAAGCAGGAACGCGAAGAAATCCGGCCCCGGCGGTTTCGGCTTGCGGAACAGGATACTGATGCCGAGGTTCATGAAGGGCGTGGTGAAGTCCACGGCGCGCTCGCGGTCCGCTGTGATCGTCAGGTCCGTGATTGCAAAGTCCATGTCCTGCATTATAAGCCGGTATGATTATTTTAGTTGCATTTAACCAAACGCGGCAGTGTCTATTTACACTAGCCATTTTAGGCCACCTTCGAATCCCCTATAACTAAAAAACTTGCATTCTTAATAAGGATTCCTTAAATACCTAGAATTCCAAATTTTATTAATGACTATTTGACTTATTAAGTTTTGTTTTTAAGTTATTAAGATCTGATGAGGTGAACCTCTTCTAGTTGCACTTGTCCGTTACTTTTATAATAGCAACGTAAGTTCCTTGCGCAGACGGCAGTATACTTTTTATATATGCTGCAAGACTTTGGCGAAGGTGGTTTAATGAATATTTATATCGATTTTTTCAAAGATATAAATGGAAGACAAAGATTTCTGAACCTAATGTAGGCGATGTTGTGATAGTTAAATAAGACAGCCTGCCTCCTTGTCGTTGGATATACGGTAGGGTCATTGCAAAACATCCAAGTCCGGATAAAATCATACGTAGTGTAGAAACAAAATGTAATTAAGAGACCAAATAATAAAATCTGTGTTTAATATATTTTTTTTTATAGGATAAGGGTGAAAAACGAGCACACAGTTCACCTGATGGTAAGTGGTTACTGTGGTCCATAGACATCTGCATCTATCCTCGATTACGAATCAAAATGCAGATGCTTTGTCATCCGTGAGGACTAAGATGGAATGCCTCTTTTCCAGTAAAAAGGGTCTCCGCTTCTCTACACTCACCATACGAAACACAATAGCATTAAGCTGCTATTTGACGCTGGTATTCTGTGAGAGCGTGGTCCTTCCCCGGTCGAGCCGACCCATTCGTGCTACAACTATACCAGTTATATAGCTGCAGCATGGCTCTACCACGTAAAAATATATGTCGGAGCGTCTATAAAATACCCGGTTGGATCGAGGTAGAATGGAGGGTATATCGAGAAACCCCCTCTTGTGTCTGTAGCATAAAATTCACTGTGGGTGCCGTGCGCGAGAGATTCCGCTCAAGTCATTCAACGAGTGTGGTCACTCTACTAGTGCTAAGATAGTGTCGTGGTTCTGTTCGTTGTTGTAATTCTTCTAGTGCAGACAAGGAGGATTGGTGTTGCTGAGATGCTGTCCAGTGTTACATTGAGATAAGTAGTGTTGCTGTTGGTTTACATATTTTGGTGTTATCATGTAATTACGTACCTCACGTTACACTGGTGTGTGATTGTGGCGGAGACGTCTTACGGTGTGGTCGAACTGTAATTTCACTATACTGGATGTATAGTGCGTTACGCTGTCTTATTACTGATAATGATTAACTGCGTAAGCAAGGGAGCAAGTTGAACATCCGCTCTCACTTTTATTATTTTTAACAATTAACGCTATCCTGATGTATCTCAGAAATCAAAATTGCGATCCTCTATTGTAATCTCCGACATCAGAAGTGGGATCTCCTGTTGTCATTTCCGATATATATAAATAAATGTAAAATCTGTTACTGAATAATTTGTTTATGTTGTTGAAAGAGCTAGGTAAGGTATATAGGTATAACCTATATACCTTGTGTTGTAATTTTCTATGTTTAAAATGTATTATTTAATCTGACAATAACTTTATTCTTCTTCAATGTGTTTTATGTCATTATTTGTTGAAACAGGGTTTGAAACAGGTTTGTGTTGGTGGGTGGAGATTTTTTCATAATATTGTTGTATATATGTACAAAGAGATTTAAATATATAGTACTTAAATGTTTTTGTACATGTAGAACAAAATGTTCGAGGTGGGCGGAATGTATAATTGTTTTTCTAATAAACTTATCTTTTGTTATTCGATATTCATTTAATGTAGAATTGCTTCTATGACAAACATGTCAATTATTTTTCGTTATTCAAAATTAAATAAATGTACAGTTATTTCATGACAAAATATGTCAATTGTTTTTAAAAATATTTAGTCCCGGGCAACATAATTAAAACCTTAAATTACACGTGCGCGAAGTCGCGGGGAACAGCTAGTATATATATATACAATTATTTGAAATATTATATATATATACATACAACATCTAACGTAATTAACGCACATCCTCAGACACCACACTTAGTATATTATGTTATAATCATAGATACATACACTGACTTCTTAGTTAAACATGTTTAGGCATTAATTATTTATCAAACTTAGTTATACTAATTCCGGAAGAATTTTGTGGTCACAGTACAAATTCACGACTGCACACAGTCGCAGACGTAGGTATAGGTTTTGAGGGTCTTGCTATCCCAGTAGGTATTCGCTCGCGTTCGAGACAAGTTAACGCCGCCGCGACTTGACACAACTGTAGGTAGGTATTAGTGCCGAAAAAAGCCGACAATACACGATTGTTTATGTTAAAGAAATACCTAGCTATGAACATTAACAGATGTCAGAACTTCGAGCATCGAGTTGTTTATTTAAGTGTAGTAAACATTTGATTGCATCTTTCCATCACACTTTTCAGGCTTTGGACTGCAGTCTCTGAATAACTTTGTTTATTGATTATGATCCAATGTCAATAGGCAATCATCATTCTCTAAACCATTTCCCATTATCTGGGGTCGGCGCAGTAAATCTTTTTGTTCCATTCCTCTCTATCAGCCGTCATTTCCATACTTACTCCTTTCATTCTCATATCACTCTTCACACAATCGATCCATCTTTTATTCGGCCTTCCTCTGCCCGTGTGTCCCTCCACATTCATATTCAACACTCGTTTTGTGACATGACTTTCATTCCTCCGCATCACATGCCCAAACCATGCCAATCTGCTTCCTCTCACCTTTTCTACCACTGGCGCTACTTTCAGGCTTCCTCTTATATACTCATTCCTTATCTTATCCATCCTTGTCACACCACACATCCATCGTAACATTCTCATTTCATTCGCATGCAGTCTATTTTCATCCTTCTTCTTGAATTGTCAATAGGCAATATTCGTTAAAAATGTTATGAATTTGCTTAACATTTTAATTGTAATTGTAAATAATAATGAACTGCTACAAATAACAAGATGAGATTACAATAATTTAAAGAATCAAATATTTAACTTACTGATATATGTAGGCTAAACTCTCATGCAACGTTGTGTTTTAATACACTTTCAAAATGTCCACCACCTTGTTCGATACATTTTAATGACCGTTTTATTAATTTATATTTTAATTTAGAAAGCAATTCAGTGTCAATTTGCATTATTCTAAAAGTGTTCTCTATCCTAGTTTAGGTCCTTGGCACTTGTTGTCTCACTAAATAAACTAATGATTTAATACGTCCCCACTAAAAAAAGTCAAGAGGCGTCAGGTCAGCTGATCTGGAAGGTCAATGGACAGGGCCGCCACGACCGATCTAACGCACTTCATACTCTGTATTTGTAAAGACTTTAACTTGCTTGAAATAAGGTTCATTTTCTTTATTTTGTATTGAATGACGGAATTTGTATTAATACAAATAAAACTGCACTTTAAAAAGTCTTATTGCCTTGAGTTACGGTCAATTTCAGTTTGTTTTGACTGTACAGGTTTTATGTGACTGTAATTTATGTAGATTTAATTATTTTTGGACAAAAAAATTTACCTATATTAAAATGATAGATATCGATTCAGTAAACGATTCTGAACAAACTACTTTCAGGATGTGTGTTAATTATGTTACGTGTTGTATATATAGATTGCAACTGTTACGTTATACGAGTTCAATGAATATTATAAAGGATGGCAGTGTAAGTATATTTGTTTCGTTTCCATGATCAAGGTTACCATCTAATTTTAGTCTTATAAGGTTGAACTCACCGGGTCATCCATGAGGCGTCGTATCATCCCGTTCCATCCTTTTTGTGCGTCGTATGTACCGTAAGCACCGTCTTTTTGCTCTATGAACGTGTAGTTAAAATTTAAGAACTTGGCCAGCTTGTCGATCAACTCGATGCAGTAACCTGTTAGCAAAAATCACGTCATTTAAAGTCTTCATTTGCACGACTTTCTAGTTCATAGTCTTTGTAATGAGCCGCGTACCTTCGTAGCGACTGTTGCCTGACAGCCGGTCCGACGACTGCTTTTTCATGATGTACGGTTCGCTCTGGAATGGTAGAACTCATTTTGTCGTCAAGTGCCTTGCAAGTTAGTCTAAACGTGATGGCGGTTCGTTGATCTCGCTTACACGTGCGGCGGCAGTGCTTTCGAGCGCGTTTGGTGCTACTATTGTCGAACATTTGGCGATGCCAACACTGGTACCGCCTCACGTTCAAAGACACTGTTCCTGACTATGGTATTGCGAGATTGTAAAAATAGGCTAAATTTTAAGCAAATTACAATTTGTTCTACAGTAATAATATGTTTTTATATAATAAGGATGACAAATGTGCACACAGTCCACTTGATGATAAGTGGACGCTGTGGTGCATAGACATCTACATCTATCATCGACTAAGATCAAATTCAAGATGCGTAGTCATCTAAGAGAACTAAGTTTCCAGTAAAAGGGGTCTCCGGTTATTACGACTTACCATACGAAACACAGCAACACTAAGCAGCTAGTTTTCGCATGTACATTTTCTGAATACGTGGTCCTTCGCCGATCAAACCGATCTATTCGTGCTACAATCATAATATACCTGTAGCATGGCTCTGCCTCGTAAAAAAAGAAACTATTATAACTTACCATAATGTCATGCAATGTCAATAACATTTTTATATTCCTTAATAAAATTTGTGTGTTTCGGTAATGTATATAATATACAGATTACTTTGGCAAGCACATTTCCTCTATGAGGTTGCCTACGTTCAGCAGTGGTCTTGATAGGCGGTAATGTATATACAGATGATGCGTTTATTATTTTAAAATGTTCTAAAAATATTTCAGTTACTATCAAATCAAATCAAAAACATTTATTTCGGATTCTTCATCTAAAGGTGTTAGTAAACAAGTAAAACTTATTCCAACGCATGCAGACAAATCCATCCATTCGTAGCCAGCGAAACAGGCCTGTAGTTAGATATATCAGAGGCAGCACAAGTTTTGTTCTTTATTATTGGCGTTTTTACGTGGTAGAGCCATGCTGCAGCTATATTAGTAGTATAGTTGCAGCACGAATGGGTCGGCTCGACCGGGGAAGTACCACGCTCTCACAGAATACTAGCGTAAAATAGCAGCTTGACACTGCTGTGTTCCGTATGGTGAGTGTAGAGAACCGGAGACCCTTTTTACTGGAAAAGAGGCTTTCCATCTTAGTCCTCATGGGTGACAACGCATCTGCATTTTGATTCGTAAACGAGGATAAATGTAGATGTCTATGGGCCACAGCAACCACTTACAATCAGGTGGACTGTGTGCTCGTTTGTCACCCTTATCCTATAAAAAAAACTGGCACAGCAATTGTATACAGAAGAAACTATTGTTATCGTTTTATGTGAGTAGTAAATTTTATTTTGTTTACATATTACGTCTCATCAACCCATCATGTAGAAACACGTTCTCAAAAACATAAATAAGCGCGTGAGTGCGTAAGAGTACATACGTATTTGCATGGTGATAACTCCCTTCTAAGGGCTGGGAGTTTTTTTTAGAATATGGGTGACGAACGAGCACAAAGTTCAACTGGTGGTAAGTAGATAATGTGGCCCACCCATAGAAATCTACATTTATCATAGATTAAGAAATCACCCCTGAGAACTAAGATAGAATGCCTAATATCTAGTTTCTTTCTAAGGTTCTCTGACTTCCTACACTCACCATACGAAACACAGCAACAATGCGCTGCTATTTTACGCTCGTATTCTGAGAGAGTCTACATGCAGAAGTGGGTTTTATAAGATGTACAAAATGTAAAAGAGTTAGAGACGGAAGGCGGGAGGCATGCGTGTGTGGTGAGTGCGCGTGTGGGTTACCATCGCGATGAGCACGTTGAAGGTGCGGTTGGTCATGATCTCGGAGGGCGGCGGCGCGGCGGGCGGGTCGCGGCGGCGCCACAGCAGGCGCGCCAGCGGCGTCCAGCGCGCCACGGCGGCCGGCCGCCCGCCGCGCTGCACCTCGCACACCACCAGCGAGCCCGCGCGCCGCTCGCCGCCGCCCGCCCAGCGCAGCGTGCCGCCCGCCCCCGCCCACTCCTCCTGCGACACCGCACCCTCTCTCTCAACACATCGCTACACCATCAGTAGTGAAGTGGGTGCCGTGGCTCATACACATCTACATTTTGTATATACTCGATTATACTCGTGACAATCTAAGAAGCCCGATTTGACAGCTATAAAAATACTTTGCGTAATGATGGGGAAAAAATAGGTTGCTTTAAAAACCGATTCCCGAGATTCTCGATCGATTATTTAAAGTTTGTAATGGACAATGTATCTACATCGCTTAAAATTGATTCTCAAGGCATATCATTTTAATACATGTACGAGTTTGTAATATTTAACAGTTATTACATAAATCCAAACTAAGTTTAAATTTGGGCCAGTTTCAAAGCCAAGACGCAGATTTTTGAAGAAGTTTGCAGATTTAAGGGACACAAGTTATTTACTTATGGTGGGGTACTCTTGTCTTGTGTAGTAGTCGTAAACATGGGATCTAATAGCATCAGCATCAAAATTATCGATAGCTGTCACAGGTTTATGTTTTGTGTTTTTCGGGTGTGCATTGCAATGCATGCATACATGTACATTATCTTCACAGCCAAAAGGCCCGTACTTTTCCTTTATAATATTTCGGACAGTTTTATGCCAATTTCAAACGCTTGTGGGACTCGTTTTTGTACTTGGGTAACTTATAAAAGAGGCCCTCTATTTGCTGACTCCCGTTCAAAGTACTCGTGCAACTTCAAAACAAAGTCACGAGACTGGCTGTTAAGGGTACGTCCTCTTTTATATATGTTGTCTAGTTCACACGATAACATCAAAATCATATAATGCGTAATCAAAGTCCGGAATTATCAAGCCGAGATCAACGAATATAGCAGAAACAGTGCAAGAGTGATAGCCGAGTCAGAAAATATAATAATAACCAATTACACAAAAACTTCCAAGATAGCGAGAGACCGCGCGAAACATTGACGAATCAATGACGTAGAGAGAAAAAATGGAGGTTAAAATATATTTTTTCATGATCAAACTATTTCCAATATTAACATATTAAATATCAAAATAAAACTATAAATATATGTGGTTAGATTTTGTTTTTATATGTTTAAACATTAAATAATACGTTTCTCTCTTTTCTAAATGTAAAAGTATCGATTTTTCAGAACATCGATTTTATTTGGTCAAAAAATGGTTTATAACGGTCACAACACTACGGCAACGAACCCAAAGATATCAACAGACATGTCATTGTAATATCGTCCTGTGGAAATATTAATCAACGATTAATTCGTGTTTTAGGATTGGATTGTGAATTTTATTTTTCGATTTCTTACGTCAACGTTCATACAAAGTTATCGCGGCATGTATAATGAGAAACGTCAAATTGGGCTTTTTAGATTGTCGCGAGTATAAGAATCATCATGCACACGTGTTATTACCCCTGAGAACTTAGATGAAATGCATCATTTCCAGTAGAAAAGGTCAAAAAGGTTCCAGTAAAAAACTGCTCCTTTGTCATGAATTTGCTTCCATAATGGGAGGTAATTTAGAAAACTGATGATAACCAGATCGGAGGATACTGTCTGGTGTTGCAGCTACATAATATTATCTTTTCCAAAATTTATTTTGATGTAGATGATTTTGGATGACGATGATTAATTAAAAATTGAAAAATAATTAATTAAAAACAAAACTACTCAACAGCTAAAAGATCAAAGAATTCGCTACGTTCAGTGAGGACTGTGACGCATCACGCGCGGTGGAGGGGGGAGCGCCGCCATTTATAGGTCGTTTAGTTACGTAGAAGTGTTCGTAGAACTTCTATGTTACTCCGTTATTACGTCAAAGTAAAACAGACAGGCTTATTCCCAAACACCCCGATTTTTTAAATACTGATGACTCCACTGCCTCTTTTATCAGTTCTATTCTTTTTTAGTCATAATGATGTTGTCTTAATGACGATCGAAAGAATGTTGTTGTGGACTAACCGAGCGTAAGAAGTTAAGGAGCGTGTCGGCGTGGAAGGCGGAGCAGCCGGTGCAGGAGGGGGGCGGGGCGGGCGGCAGGCGCAGGTGCTGCAGCGCCTCCGCCGCCGCCGCCACCGCGTCCCGCGTCAGCACCAGCTCGCTCGCCGCCGCCGCGTCCGCGACCCACTCGCTCTCCTCCTCACCGCCTTCCTCACCGCCTTCATCACCGTCGTCCTCACCACCCTCTTCACCGCCTTCCTCACCGCCCTCATCAACGCCTTCATCGCCCGTCACCGCTGGCAACCGCCGCGCGTAAGCCTCCCGCCACTGCTCGCTCACTTCTTTTATATGCTCTGACTCGGGGTCAAACAGGTGCAAACCTACACAAAATAAATTTCATACAATTTTTATTGAAAGTCATGTTTTGCTTTTACCACTGGTCCGGATAAAAACCTCTGTCCTGGGAGAGCCAGCCAGAAGCCCAGCGATACTTTTTAGGGTTCCAAAGGGTAACCAAAGGGACCATATTACTAAGCCTCCGCTGTCCGTCCGTCCTTCCGTCTGTCTGTTAGCGAACTGTATTTCATGATCCGTAATAGGTAGTAGTTGAAATTTTCACAGAACGTGTGTTACTGTTGCCGTTAAAACAACAAATAATAAAAATAAAAATAAATTAAAAATTAAAGGGGGCTAAAGTCTTCAAAATGCTCTTGGCAGGAAAGCACCTCGTTTGAGCACTGTAAGGCGTTAATACGCAGAATTTGATCGTGGCCGTGTCGCACTCCAAAAAGCGATTAAAATGTAATGGAGAATACTTTGAAAACCATTTAATATTTTAGTTTACATATATAGTTGTATTTATGAGTTACGCAAAACTTTCAGTGTACCCCACGTAATATCTTTAAGCTGATAGTTTAAATTTCTTTAGGTAGGCAATTTTGATTCCTTTTATTAGAGAAAGCTAAATATTGTGCGACTGACTGGTGATGTTGGCACCGCTGTGGCTGTAGCTGTCGAGGTGGCGCGTGTGCATGTCGAGGGCCAGGAGCACGTAGGAGTGGCGCGTGCCCAGCAGGCCCGTGCGCTGCGCTGCATCCAGCACGCGCATCACGCAGTCCGCATCGCACCATACTATGAAGTTCGTCGCACCAAACTTCTTCAGAACTAGCAGTAAGTTTCTGACAACACAACAATTGATGCTAATTTGTTATACTGATTAACAATATCACTGTGTTAGCGCTTATAATAGAATAGAATAATTTTTATTCAATATTGATTACAAGTAATTCTTATTGAAAGTCATTTTTTTACATTAGCTTAGATAAAAACAGCAGCTTAATGCATCCAGTTTCAAAAAATAGGATTCGAAAAACAGTGCGCTAAAATTAGTTATATTCAGTGGCGTTATAAACGCGGTCGCTCATCATGAGCTCCTGCGTTTAAATCCCGGCTCGGGCCAAAATTAGTTATTGGGTATTTGTATCAAGAGATTCTCAGTAGCAGCCCGGAATCAGGAAGTTGGCGATGTTTTCACCCCAGTGCCTCGGTAAGCACGTAAAGCCGCAGCTCCTGCGTCGGCTGCTCCCGTGACGGAATAGAGAGTGCAACTGTGCTTGCGCATACACTCAGACACTATAATCCTGTCCTGCGCTGATGGCTAGTCTTCATTGACAGTGGCCGCCGTGATCGAAATTCGTTGTGGAGGACATTATTTAGCGGCTTGGGATAAACGACCCTACCTGAGCAGCGCGAAGTCTTGTGGCGGCGGCAGCTGGCGCGGCACCACGTCAAGGCCGGCGCGCGCGAGTCGCGCAGCCTCCGATGCGCCGCCCTCGTGCAGCAGCACTGCGGTGCGCCAGCCCTTCGCCGCACATACGTCTGCACACGCCTGCACACACCCACCAAACGTGCTAGAGGAAATGTGCGGCTATATTATGGTTGTAGCATGAATGAGTCGGCTCGATCGGCGAAGGACTATGTTCTCACAGAATAGTAACCTCTCGTGCTTGGCCATTCACTATACCGTAATTGATAAGATAACGTTGTTTAAACTTTCCAAGCCATCCTTCTGACGCTTTGAAATCCGTTATGCTAAGTTGTTCAGCAAATTTCTCTGATAATACATAGGTCCCGAGACAGACATATTATTCTGACGCTGCTTACAAAACCATGTAAACATTTCCTGATCCAAATGTTTTTTTACTTTCTTTGAGCTTTTCCTATTCATCTCTGCCTGTAGAAATTTTTCCTTGTACTTCCAAATGTTAGACACAGTAAATGGACGGAATCTAAAATGTTTTGCAACATCACTTTTTCTTCCTCCCTTTTCTATCGCACGAATTAATGACACTTTCTCGTCAATACACAGATTCTTTCCTCTACTGGCCATGTTTATGGTTAAAAAATTGGAAAGCAACTAATAACAAGATCAGACACAACTGAAAGCAATAAGACGATAGTAGGACGTAAAGTAATTAAACACGACTAACCAATCAACACATTTCTAAGAGTACCATTGTACTTACGAACTATTGAAGATTTTATATTAATGAAAATAAAATTAATGTTTATCGGGGGTTATTGTTTCGCGTTTGAGAGTGGTTACTACTCTATAAAGAGTGTTACTATATAAGAGTTACAATGTAAACCTAAGAAACCTAAGCAATTTCTACGTTTTAAGGATTTTTTCGTTAAATATAAGTTCGCTATATAGAGTTTACACTGTATACATGTTGTATTTTTGTTGACAAACCATTCGGAAGTTATAAACGTTCCAAGAGCAATGAGCTTTCACCTATTTATTTATTTTATTCGGAACAGTGGTAGAGCCACGCGGCAGCTTTTGATGTCGCACGGATGGGCCGGCTCGAACCGGGGTAGTACCACGACCTCACAGAAAACCAGCGTGAAGTAGAGGTTTACCTCTGCGTTTCGCTTGGTGAGTGCAGGTGGCCGGAGGCCCTTTTTACTGGAAATGAGGCATTTCATCTTAGTCCTCACGGGTGACAACGCATCTACATTTTGATTTGTAACAGAGGATAGATGTAGATGTCTATGGGCCGCAGCAACCACTTACCATCAGGTGGACTGTGTGCTCGTTTGTCTCCCTTATCCCATAAAAAAAAAAAAACGAACAGCTTTTATGCATTTCACTTATTACAGATATTTAAATCTACATAGCTGTTAAAACTGATTGCATATAAGGATTAAAATGTATATATATATATCCACACAAGCTTTAGCAATACAAAATCGATCAATTAAAGAATACAAAAACTAAATATTTTTTATAATTTTTAATATTTACTTGGGGACCGAAAAATTCTGAAGCAAACAGCTTGTTAATATTTGAAGGTTTCGTCTGAAATACTAAGTAGCTGTTACTATATGAGAAATTGTTGAAAAAGTTCCTGCGCGATTGCATAAAGAAAGAATTGTGACTAATGATTTACGCTAGCAATATAATATAAGTCAATTGCGACTATAATAATTAGTGTTAGCTCTGGGTATTGATAGATTAAACACAGTCGATCTTTGTCTTAAAAATCCACGTTGTTTTGGAGTAAAAACACGACTGTAACACGGCATATACCTGACGATAAACAATTATTTTAAATATTTTGCCAAAGATGCATAATTAGGAAATAGGCCTGTAATTTTTTAAATTAGATCGATCACCGCTTTTATGTACTGGCGTTACAAATGCACAATTCCAGGTGGCTGGTACCGTACTTTCGCTTAAAGATCCATTAAAAATAATAAATAGAGGCGAAACTAAACTGTCTACACATTGTCTTATGAAAAAGGGGTTATGCTATCAGGTCCGGTGTCTTTGTTTAGGTTTGTGATTTTAAGCAATGTTTCTATCTTCTCCATCTATGTCATTTAAACTAAATTAAAAAAAAAATCAAAAATCACAAATGGTTTGGCTGGAGTTATTAATACGGGAAGTGCATTAAAATATTCAGCACATAAATTACAGACAGATTCACCAGTGTTCCCAGATTTATCCAGATGTTTTATCACAGGTGGTAGCGTATGTGAGAATCTGTTTAATGGTTTTGTGTAAGACAAACAAACAACAAGATATAACTGATAGCATTTATTTTGTAACTCTATGGCCCGTTCTCTGAGCAATACATCGTAAATTCATCACAGTTTCATAGTCGTATTGGTTACCAAATTTTTGGAACGAAGTTCCTTAACGGACGGTACGAAAGTCTTATTTGATATACTCGTACGTTACATAAAAACGAAATATGTAAGTATTATATTGATATATCGCGCATGTGAATCTTATAATATTATTTTTACTAATTATAATTTATTTTTAATAATTATAATTTATTTCCGTACGCAAAAGAAATATTTAAGAAATATATTACAAAAATATTTAATACGTTTTTACAATACGAATAATAGGAGTATAAAGATCTCCTTTTAAGTATTAAGATATTTGCACTAGGAGACCTCGCCCATCGTTACTAGTCACACAATATATTAAATATACAAATAACATGTACGAGAATAGTAATTGTGTGTGTGTGTGTGTGTTTGTGTGTGTGTGTGTGCAGCACCTGCGCGATGAGGTCAGGGTGCGGCAGCAGCTGCAGCGCGGCGGGCGCGTCGCGGCGCGGGCGGCCGGCCGGCAGCAGCAGCGGCAGCCCCTCGCGCGCCGCCGCCGGCAGCGCCGCCGCATCGCCCACCACCACCACCACCCCCGACCCCGCCTGCAAGCACCGCGTTACAGTTCCCTATGCCTATAGTATATCAGGATACTCTATGTGTGCCCCATGTAACCTATATGACAACATCGAACATCGAGACACCGAACTCCAAAACAAACATTTTCGTTGTTAATATGTCCCGTCGTTGCTTTTTTTATTTGTGAAGTAGAAACTTCTTTAGAATCGATATGATTTGAAATTCGATGAAACGACACTAAAAAGAGACAAACATACAATATACAGTGTTCCTATTATCTCGATCTCCTTTTTTGAAGGTTTCGCTTCTACCGCGTGCGGACTGAACACTTTTCTAATAGAATAAGGGTGATAAACGAGCACATAGTCCACTTAATGGCAAATGGATGCCGTGTCCCATAAATATCTACATAAATACACCATTAAGAATCAAAATGCAGATGCATTGTCACCCCTGAGAAGTAAGGTGCAATACCACGTTACCAGTAAAACGGGTCTCTGGTTCTCTACACTCATCAAACGAACTCACAGCAGCATTATTCTAATGTTTTACGATGGAATCCTGTAAAAGCGTAGTCATACTCCAGTCAAAAGTTAAAAATGTGTAAAAAATTCAATAATACAGCACTGTTTGACGATGATTGTGTCCTATTATTACGTTTGTAACACTTTTTTTAAATGTGGGTGACAAACGAGCACACAGTCCACCTGATGGTAAGTGGATGCTGTAGCCCATAGATAACACCCCTGAGGACTAAGATGGAATGCCTCGTTTCCAGTAAAAAGGTTCTTCGGGTTGTTCCATATAATATAGCTATTCAGTGCTTTTTTTATTTAAATTTGTTTCAAAAATAATTAATAGTATTTCAGTGTGTACATTCTGGTCCTTCGATAGCCGAATAAGTTAAGATTTATTTTAATAAGTGGATCAGTAGGAAAATGCATGTATGGTGGTTAAAACTGAAAATAATATAAAATACGAAGTATTTTTATTTATTATTAATACTAAATACGAAGTTCCTTATCGCACGGTACGAATTTGGCTAGGCGAGAAAAAGAGTAACGCGATGCTGTAGTAAAGTTGGCACCGTGCTTAAAAAATTGTTTGTCATTTTTCATTTCATAAAATACTAGCTGTGCCCCGCGGTTTCACCCGCGTCATCACGTGTCCGAGGTGCGCGACATGACCTAGTTCAAGCATTTTATAACGGCTAGGGTTTAAGCGTCATTCGCGCGCCCAGCCAAGTATTGAATTATTTTAATTTTACATTATCTCTTAAACTATGCGTCCAAATAACATGGTATAAAGAACAAAGTTTATCTTCATAAAATTGTCTTGATGATGAAGTAACTTTCGTTCGTAAGGATAAATAGGCCATGCCTAATAATAACGCTCATAAATCACTTTTAAATTTTCAATATTTTTTTGTCACAAAATACCAAATTATGGCTTATGTATAAGAAATAGACGTATGGTATTGCGGACTTTTTTTAGACGGAGTAAAGGTCTATATTTTTCTAGAACATTGTATTTACATATCCCGAACGATAACACGTAATAACGGATAATCATTTCGGGAGTGCTTTTTCTTCTGACTTGCTTAACAAATATCCATATTTAAGGCTAGCTGAGTAATATAGCTTAATTCTAGATAGCCTATACTATTTCACATGAATCTGGCTATAATATACAAAAATAATTTTTCAAATCGGACTGGTAGTTCCAGAGATTAGCGCGTTTAAACAAACAAAAAAACAAACAAAAAAACAAACAAACTCTTCCGCTTTATTATATTAGTATAGATATAGATTATTACATTAGTATATATTAGTATAGATAAATATTATATTCGTATATAAATTATTGCTATTTAATTATATAAGGCATTCCGAATAAAAGGTAATCTACATTAAAAGATAGATTAAAATAGATTCAATATGATTGTCAAACGAAAATACAGGATCGATTCCCCGGTCGAAAGTTAATTCCACAAAAGTTTGTTTATATAATTTATAATTTAGAGTCATGTGTTACATAATAATCGGCTATGCAATACGGATAAAACTCTTGTATTAAATTAGATACTTACTTCTTTTAGATAAAACATACTTTATTCTTGTAATAAGAGATAACATACATAATGGCTAGATAAGAATAGCATATGTAAACAAATAATGTTTTATAATGAACAGAGGTGTAGTTGTAATTTAGACAAAGAAAGCACTAGCCTCCTACTGAATCGATGAGGGTCATGCACAGAATGGTTGTTGATGTTGTATGGGATTTAAACAGTGTCTAAATAATGTACTATAAATATAAAAATAAAAAATAAACTTTATCGATTCGTGAAACTTTCAGTAATATGTGTAAAAATAAGTAATAAATATTTCAGAGTTATTGTGTGTATTTAATAAGAACAGTGCTGTGTTAAAAATGAATTAAAGTCGAATTAAAGTGTATAAATGCCTTTAATTTGTGAATGAAACTATTGTATTAGTTAAAATATTCATGTTTATTTATAAAGATTGTTGTTTGACCATGTGTGTTAGATATTTAATATTTAATTTTGTTTAAAGTTATATATCTTTTATGTTCTGTAAAATATTTTGTTGAATATCTTAATATGTTTTTATGTGATAACGATATAATGTATAACATAATGATATTGTATGTGTTTTTTATAAATAAAATTGTGTAACTATATCTTTTAAATAAATAAAGATATGGGGTAAAATTCAAGGGTGCAATGATGAAAATCCCTTACTAGACAATTTTTGCTTCATAAATAATTTGAAGCTTTTGATAGAAAAAATCTGCATATTTTCTGGGATTTGTTGTAAAAGCATATACATTGGCCCCATGAAGGAATTCGTAACTATTTAGCTTTTGTGTACATACAATAAGTTCTCGTAAATATTAATGAGTAAAAAAAAATAATATAATATATTTATTTCTTTAAATTTTTCTCTAAGGGATTCCTTCGGACCTAGGTTATAAATTGCTCTTATGGCTCTCTGTTGCAAAACAAAGATAGTTTCAATGTCAGTCGCATTACTCCATAGCAAGATTCCATATGACATTATACTATGGAAATAACTGAAATAAACTAATCTAGCTGTTTCAACACATGTAAGGCATCTAATATTTTTTACGTTATATGCTGCAGAACTAAGTTTTCAAGCTAGTTTAAATATATGAGACTCCCATTGAAGCTTCTTGTCAACTGTGTAAGTGCTGTAAGTGCTGATTTAGCATAGGCTCGCCGGTGAAGGAAAACTACATGTCTGAGGAATAAGAAAAAACTTTAAGTGTGACAAACAAGCACACAGTTCACTTGATGGTATATAATAATTTAAATGCAGATAGGTTGTCAATTTTAAGGACTAAGATGAAATGCCTCATTTCCAGTAACAGCGGTTCTCTACATTCATCATCCGACACAGCAACATTGAGCTGCTTTTTTACGCTGGTATCTGTGAGAGCGTAGTCCTACCCCAGTCGAGCGAACCTATTCGTGTTACAACTATAATAATTGCAGTTGGCTCGACAACATATAAAAAAAATAACAAAGACATCCTCAACTAATATTGTTTGGTTTCACTTAGTAGAGTACCTGTTCGCAGACGGCCTGCGGCAGAGCGAGTGGCTCTCTTGGCTCGACAGACAGCAGGCGGGCGCAGGGCTCGGAGCACCGCAGCGCTGCGTCTGCCGCCGCCGCCAACCGTGCTGCCCGCTCCGGCTCGCTGCACACCACACCTGCCACGCACACCCCCACCCCGCCATCACTAAACTAATAATGTCCTCCACACCGAATTTTGCTCACGGCGGCCAGTCTCAACGGAGACTCGCCGTCTGCGCAGGACAGGATTATAGTACAGTGTGTGTGCAAGCACTGGTGCACTCTCTGTTCTCTCACTTCCATATTTGATAAATAGATAGATTAGATAAATTGGGCGATAATCAGATAGATGTCAGGCGCAGGACCCATAGCTTGAAATACTTTCCGAGGCACGCTTAATAATGAAACACCAACGAATTCTTGACTCTGGGCTTCTACTGAGAATTTCTCGACAGAAAAACCCTATAAGTGATTCATCCGGGACCTCACGATCAGTGTCAATCGTGTTTACGACCACTACAATAACGAGGCACTACATTCGACATGTGTCAATCGTTCAGTTCTGCTGACACGATCGTTCAAGTAGGTATTGATTCGTTCCCAAAAAACAGACGCGACAATAGTACACATTTACATTCTTAGGGGAGAAACAGCGTCAATGCGCAATGTGTCTGCTGTACGGGGCCGGTTTTAAACAATTATCCAAATGTTCTGATCTCAACACATATCAAAGAAAATTTTTAGCAGATAGTGTTTTATAATATAAATGAATTTTTAATGGAATGAAATTATTTTGTTGGCATAATTGTTAATCTACTGTAATGTTTTGTGAATGACATATTTTTGTAAATTAATAAAAATAATGTAATTAATTATATTTCTTGCATGTTTTCAGGTAAAATATAGCGGCATCTGTACTATATAATATTTGTCACCACATTCTGTATTACACATATTTACATAATAAAGAAATTCATTCAAAAAAATTCATTCATTCAAATGGAATATTTCGGGTTTCAGTATTGTGTGATCTGTGAGACCCGCTCGGTTCTATTGTTCGCCGGTCCTCTTTGATTGGTTGCGACTCGCGAGCGTAGATCTTTCGATTTCAATCGAACACAAACAGATAGGTACTTCATTTTACTGTTTGTATAAGTATCTATATACATAGTATTGGTTCCAAACTTTGCTGTAAGTAAATTATTAATATTTTGAATAATAATCACTACATGTGCTTACATATATATATGCTATGAAATATATAACAGTAGAGGTATATATTTGTAAGTTGTTTCCATGATCATCACAAACTCAAACCCACATACAAGTGTATCTGTCTCTGTTTATAATTCTAGTACAGATTAGACGAAATGATTACTTCACATTCACCATTTTTGCAAAACAGTCAATCATAGGTCACACGTTATTGTCAATCATTTGTTTCGGAACGTTTAAAAATTTTGCAACCATCTAAAGTGACCCGGGTCAAATCACACAATCGTTCACGGTTGACACATGTCGCACATTACACCGCACCGCTTATGGCTTTACCACAACGAGTACATTCCCAAATTATTTTTTATTTAATTTTATTATTTAATTCCGCTAACCGATCTGCACGTCATCTTCCGCGGAGGCGACGACGATGCAGCACAGCAGCAGCGAGGCGCACGTGCTCCGCGCAGAGCCCCACATGGCGCGCGACACGCTCGTGTCGGAATGCCGCGGCCCGCGGCTCTGTCCCGCTCTTCTTGGTGGCTATTCCTGGAGCACCGCGACGCGACAAGCGCACGCGCAACGTCACGCGCGCTCATCTGAGAGAAATGTGTCACTTGTTTACTAAATCAATGTAAAAATAAGCTTAATAAGAAAGAATATCAAAATTAATAGATATTTATGAAGTATGTAAAGAAGTGCAACAATTAATAACAAACTTAAATTGTATTCAATTAAGGTAGAAAACATAAAAACATGCCAGGAGCATCCTTTAGTCATAATAATGAGTAAAGTTTTACTTTTTGTTGGGAGAAGAAGCAATGTAAACAAAAATCTGTTATTATAATATATTGAATACTATGTTAAATTATCATACATATTATTACTAAATTATATATGTACATAATATACAATGGTGGCCACAGGAAAATAAAGGTAGGTAGGTACGGTTTAAATTTATCGATGAATAATATGACATTTAATTGTAATAAAGCTAGCACTATACAATCTTATTTATTATAATATGTATTACTTGAGAGATACATTGTTTTTTCATGTGATGGCCAAGTCAATCTATTTATATAAAATATAAAAGATTTTTAGTATTGATGTGGTCACTATAAGATTTTGTTAGGTTAGTTAATTAGGTACACGTACGTAAATAATAAAAATTATGTAGAATCATTAGTGAGGGTGACGTTCTATATTCCTATAAACTACACTATTATAAACTAGTATGTATTTAGAAGATTCAGTCCCTTACTTCATTTAAGACAGATATCACATTTCTGCTATCTTATAATTTATATTTAACTTAGCAAAGGACTTTGTTACGCAGACATTTGCTTTTATTGAGTAGTATCATTATACTGCTCGAAGTCATTACTTGATATTGAATTTGGAATCAGTTCCAATTGATTTAAATAAGACAGTAGAGGTAATCATTTTATTAATTTTTTTTGATATCAAATATAGTTTTATTATATACAATATTAAAAACTATAATATTAAAAAAAACTAAAATTAGAAACACAATTAGGTAATAATAGAATAATTAATAGAGGTAATCTGTAGCAATTATAATAATTAAAATAATTTAGAATATCACAAAAGTTACGCTGAAATAGTATCCTTGACTTAGCATTAGGGGGACGGATTTTGTAAGAAGGTCATGATAGGAAAAAAAAATAAGCAGCGTATTGCCCAAACTTATGAACAAGGTCAAGTGAAGACACCAACATTATGTAGAAAAGAGAAGGGGCACAATTCGGGAAAAAGTGTTTTTTTTAATGGGATAGGGTGACAAACGAGCACACAGTCCACCTGATGGTAAGTGGTTGCTGTGACCCATAGACATGCCTCTTTTCCAGTAAAATGGTGCTCTACATTAACCATACGAAACACAGCATTGTCAAGCTGCCATTTTACGCTGGTATTCTGTGAGAGCGTGGTCCTTCCCCGGTCGAGCCGACCCATCCGTGTTTCAACTATACTACTAATATAGCTGCAGCATGGCTCTACCACGTATAAGAAGAAAAAGGCAGAAGTAAGAAGAAGTTTTAAATTTGCTGCTTCGATAACAGATTTGAGTTTTATGTTGATCTGGCGTTGGTTTTTAAATGACAAGTATTAAAATAACCCATAATTATATTATGACAATAGATAAGTGTAAGATTTTAACTAACGTTGTGAACCAGTCAACAGCGAGAGAGGGGCTGTAAAAGACTCCGAGAAGTAATTTAGTATGACCGAGAAGAACTTCGATAATGAGAAATTCAGCTTCGCCTCCAGTGTGAGAACCAGTTGAAACCTGAATTACTGAATGAGGTATATGAGAGCGTAGATAAATAGCAACACCGCCACCGCCCCGATCGGGACGGTCGTTACGAATCAAATGAAAACCTGGAACCGAGTAGGATGTTGATGGAAGACATGGTTTTAACCATGACTCTGAAACAAGGATAGCGTGTATGTTTTTGCTATTAAAACTTGACAGTTTGTCGGGGTAATGAGCAGGAATAATTTGAGAATTTATGTGAATAGAGTTAACGGTTTTGCAAAATTCAGAAAAAATTTAATCTAACATAACATTTAAGGGTGCAATGCTTTCAAAGCTCTATATAGCTCTATATATATATAATTCAAAAATAAATAAGTCATCAGTAAACTACCTGCCAGCAGTATGGAAAGAAATGTATAATTAACTTAACCAATAATTGAAAAAACAGATATGTCAGATGTGTCAAAATGTGATAGTTCGTTTTAAAAATTACTACCTTACAAAAAAAATTATAACACTAATAACATACATTCCAAAGGGAGATTATTAATCATTACATTTTACTATCTAATTAACGATTAACAATGAAAACTAATGTAGATATAATGGTAGAAAGAAAAAAGGAAGACAAGTTATAACAATAAGAATTACGAAATTAATAAAATCATGATGTTAAATAAGAAAGTTCATTTTTTACCGGCCCTCTTAGTAATCAGTGGTGCACCTTTATCATCGGGGGCCTTATTTGCCTCAACCGCAAATAGATAAGCGGGTGAGGCAGAAGTTGACCCGTTGCATATTGCTTCTAGCTGAGACAAGGTCTCAAGCTGGTGCCTTGTGCCATCTGGAGTTAAAACTCCATCTCTGGTCCAACATTTGGTGATGCCATACCTTCGCCTACCTTCAAGAAAATCACTGTGGCGTCTCCTTGTAAGAAACTCCGACTGAGTTATACCAGTGCCCTTATGTTTGGTTTTGGAGTACCAAACCTTGTCTCGCATCACAGTATCGCTGAATTTGACAATCACAGGCCTAGAAGATTTATCGGAAGGGCATCCTAGATGATGACAACGGCTTATGGATATTATACTGAAACCTGAAACTTGTAGTTTCGTGCTGATAAATATACTTATGACGGTGGTAGTTTCCTCAGATTTTTCTTCAGGAACTCCATGAAGTAGGATCATCTTTCTGCGGCGACGCATTTCACTACGATCTAGTTCTCTTCCCAGAAGATCTATTTGGTTATGTAAAGATGTTGAAGCAGCCAAGATGAATTTTCTAAAAGCATTAAAATAACCAGTTAGGGAAGATGCAGTTGAAGCAGCAGAACTAGGTTGTTGCAGTTCCCGTTGTAAGTCATTCATTTGACTTTATAATGACTTAAACAGCTCAATTTGTGAAACTTTCAGTGCTTCTATGATGGAAATAATTGTGCAGTGCAGTGATTTTAGAAAAAATACTTGCGAATAAGTGCTGGTAGGTAGTTATTTATTACATGTAAATAAATAATATACAATTCAAACTGTAATTATTTTTAAAATATGTTTTGCGAAGAGATGTTGCATCCCTTTGCATTTTCTTTCGCATCTACCACAGGGAGTGCTCTGATGAATTGTTCGGATTAATCACAGCCGCCGAATTTCACGAACGCACATCGCGGCAGAACTCCCGATACCATCCACACCATCTGGATGATTGACGGTCCACCACTGTGCGATTTAGAAGATGTTTTCTTCCTCGCACGACTTCCTTGTGGAATCGATTACCATCAGCGATTTTTCCGGACCGATACGACTTAGGGACCTTCAAGAAAAGAGCGTACTCCTTTTTAAAAGGCCGGCAACGCATGTGCAATTCTCTCCCTGGTATTGCAGTTTTTCATGGGCGGCGGTAGTCACTTACCATCAGGTGAGCCGCATGCTCGTTTGCCCCCTCTCTTATAAAAAAATCTTAGATGTCAAAAATGTGTACTACTCAAATCACCTACCCTCCAAATTTGTTTGGTTCTGTGACTTATTGGCGGGCTTGTGAAACCACACCCATTCACAAAACTCAATATTCACCGCCCAATTTTCTGGTTAACATAGTAATTTATATATCCTCTCTAGTACACCTAGTATGAAGAATGCATAATCTCTTTCATTTTTATGTTTAAATTTTTCCACCTTGACCACTATATCCTGTCCACATATGTTTCTTACATGAGTTTCTACGCATGCTATGGTAGTACGAGCTCGTATCTTTCTTGAGCCTTCAGACATGTAAATATTTCTTCTGCTCCGTGTATTGAATTTCTAGAGAGGTTGTGATAACTCCTTTTTTGACTTCACAGTTCGGGTACCTATTTTTTTTTCCTATGAATAACTGTTCATTCTTAACTTTCTTTTTTCTACTCTGTCTCTTTCTTCTTAATTTCTTCTTCCGTATTGGGTTTCATACCGTATGTTAATCTTTGTTTCAGAGAGCACCAGTTATAGTAATTATCTATACATATAATAAAAATGTAATATTAGATATATGTAAAATAAATAAATTATTACTAAAACATACGATATTTAATCATCATCATCATCATCATCATCATCATCATCATCGTCATTATTACAGCACTTCACAAATCCACTGCTGAACATAGGCCTCCCCCAAGGAATGCCACAAAGCATGGTCCTGAGCCACCGCACTGGCCAGGCCCGCGGAAACTAGTTATGCGGCGGCGGCCAGGAAAGCAGTGGATACAAGGTAGCTATAACGATTGGATAGAAGTTAAAAAGAAAAATATAAAGAGGAGTAACCTCATACAAAAAGGAGGTAACAAATCAGTTGCTTTTATAAAAGCAGTTACACGTAGGAAATTTTTACATGTTTGGAGACTGGAAAAATGCACTACAGAAGACAATCTACAGGATTATATCAAACAAATGCTGGAATAAGATGCTGAAATCAATATTGAACATTTAAAACCTAACAATGAGCGAGAAAACGCATTGTTCAAAACAAGATTGGTGTTACGTTAAGTAATTATGAAGTTTTGTAACCTAGAAGTATGGCAAGTAAATGCAGAATTCAGTGAATGAATTTGGTTTCGCCGCTTAACCAAAACAAACAAATTGGAAACCGAGTAGAAATTTTAATATTTTGTACCAAAATGTTCGAGGATTGCGGACAAAGATCACACAATTTTTATCACTATTAGAAT